AAATTGCTCGAAATCTTTGATGGTACCACCATTGAATGCAAGGGTAATTTGAATTCCGTGAGAAATGAGCCACCGCCACACCTGCGCCCGTTTCTTTCTCTCCGTCCAGGACCAGCCGCCATAACCTCCGGTCTCTCATCGGGATCTGGAGAGGAGAGATGTGGCCGGCGAAGAACTGGTTCGCCAAGTGGTAACTGCGATTCTCCATGATCTATATTTGACGAGGAAGGAGGCGGTGAAGTGACCGGAGGTACGATGTCGACGGAGGATGAGTATTTATAGACTCAACTGGTGATTTTGGACGGAGTTGCAACAGAGTATTGAATCAAATCTTGAAGTCAACCGTTCGGAATTTATGGTAAAAGTGGAAGACGGAGAGTTTTCTGTTCGTTTGGTCATCGGGTGGTTTGGCCAGTTCTCATGGCTCTGCGGGTAATGAACTATCATTTCGGGAAACTCGGGGTCGGATACTATGCTAACCCCTAAAGGGGTAGTGGTTTTTGACACCCTCCTCTTGATTGGTCACTTTTCCATTTAATCATTTGATAAGTTTTATTAATGAAAGTTGCTTTTTACTTTATTTATTGTAATCTTGTAAATTGGGAAAGCCTTAATTGTGATAATAATTATGAATGGGGAAGGAGAAAAACGTTGGAGGAGGAAAGTGCCTTTCAACTCCTATATTTCCCATATTCCCTCCCGAAAAAATAGCAACCCATCCCTCTCCTCTACAGAAATCGATGGTGGCCGGAACCCATCGAGTTGCTTGCCGACTGTGGGAACGCCTTCGACTCTCAAGACCTACGAGAGAGCCCAGCAGATGCTCAAGGACCTCGAATCCGAGAAGATGAACAGCAAGGCAGGGGGGGATGTAGCTGAATGGAGCAGATTGTTCGATGCCTTTCTGGGCTCCTCTTCCATTTGGCAGCCCCAGCCTTGCAACAGCAAATCATCGCCTTCTCATCGGGATGATTTCGGCGATGAAAATATCAACAGGGCCAATACCACAGTAACTAACTAACTAACTAACTAACAACAACAACAACAAAAACGTGAAGAAGAACACCTAGGGGGTTTCTCGTCGGCGGAGAACCCGTCGGAGATGAAGAAGAACGTGAAGAAGAACACCTGGGGGGTTTCTCGTCGGCAGAAAAAAACGCACCAATGGAGTGGTACGTGTACCAGTGGAGTGGTACGTGTACCAGTGGAGTGGTACGTGTAACCATATGTCCTGTTTAGGCTTAAAAAATTGTGAAGACTTTATGTTTATTCACATTCGAAGGATAATTTATTGCTTTTCGCATTGTTGTTGGCATTTCCCTAATTTTGCAACCCATTTTGGAACACAGTTTTTGGCTACTAATGGAAAGTTCCTATTTTTTCCCTATTATTGTTTATCATTGTTATGAAAAATATTATTGCACTGGTATTGTTCTCACTCTAACCTACCTTGTGGATTGCTCGCACCAGTGGAGTGGTACGTGTACCAGTGGAGTGGTACGTGTACCAGTGGAGTGGTACGTGTAATTAATGTACCAGTGAGAGAAATTAATTATGTAATTAATGAGGGTGATTTCGTTTTTCCCCAGATTCTTTCTCTTTTCCAATGTGGTGAGAGACCCCAAATTACAAGATTAAAAAAAATAAAAAACCAGTTTAATTAATACTTGCCAATGATTGGAAATAAAATTGGCCAATCATAAAGGGGGTGTCAAAAATCACTACCCCTTTAGGGGTAGTCACGCTAACTGAACCCGGGAAACTCAAAAGGGCCTACAGAGAACAAACCAGGCCCATAATACCACTTAACCAATAGTTCGGCGATCCATCACACTGAAAAGCCCGTATAGAAGTTGGGCTTGGGGCATAGAAGTGACCGCATGAAAACAAAATAGATGAAAGAGAGAGAGAGCAGCGGCATCGGGGAAATAAAAAAAGTCACGTGGGTGCACGTGAGAATAAGGGTGGTGGCCTCGCGTGCCGGCGTGCATTGCTTTTTTTAATTTATTAAAATATGGGGCCCCACGTGAGCAGGCAGCTGTCTCTTCTCTGCCCTCTCTCTCCATCTGGCAGCTGAGCTGACTGACAATTTCGTCTTTCCTCCCTAATTTCTTTTATGTTTTCCTATTAAAACCCATGAGTTCTTTTTGTGACCAGTCTGACACGTCAGTGGTGTCAGTCCACCTATTTTGGTTCTTCTACTACTACTCTACTCCTTTCTGGTCATGTGAACCAGAAACCATACGAGTACGACTATAGATAATTATCCATACCGACAAAACAATAAAAATTATCATGGAGAATTTTTTTTATTTAAATCCGTGAAATGAAATGATCAAATGACCCCAAAAGACAAATTTAATTTCATTGTAGGTGGAATATCAGAATTGTGCATCTCGGAGAGTTGTATATATCACATTAGTTGTCTATAATTAAGTAAAGCGATGTAAGGGTAAGGTTGTGTAATTTAAAATTACAGATAAGATGTGAACAATCGATGGTTTTGTTGATGGTACTCACAATTTTATCGATTGTTTAATTTGTTTGTGTTTTTTTTTTTTTTAAATGAGACCATTTCGTGTTACTTTACTGTTAGTTCGTGGCAAACATGCTCAATGGCTTTTCGTTTCTGTCCTTCGATGTTCTCCTGGAGCGTCGTATTACTTGGAGCTAACTCAGCTGAGCTCCTTTGTGCCATTTGAGACTGTTGAGCACTGCTGACTGTTGGAACTGTTTATAAATATACTCAGATCCCTGGAAGAGAAAGATATATGTGAATAGAATATAAGGGACAAAAGAAGACAAAAGTTTATTAATAAGGTTGAGGAATATCTTGGGAAGAAGTATACAATTTTGGAGTATTATAGGGGACCCTGGGGAGGAGAAGAGAAGGCCTGAGTCTGGAGGAAAAGCATAGCTAGCAGTAGCAGGTGACGGAGAAAGATTTTTTTTGCTAGTGGTGCATATATGTTAAGCAAAGTGTTTTCGAAGCGCGAGAAGAGATGAACATTTAGTTGTAGTGTGTTCGATTTTCTACACATACGATTTGATTGGTTTCATCGCGAGTTTGATAATCCGGTTATGCACCTAATCGGCCTCTTACCTTAAATTATTTGCACCACAATATGAGTCAGGAAATGGGCCTGGGCTTCATAAAGTTTGTTCCGGACCGCGAACTCCAAACGCAGGCTGGGTGGGAGATTATTTGGGCCCAGTTCTCGCGAAGACCCTGGCCCAGAAATACTAAAAGTAATCTTTGACCTGGATGTAGGATGTTAATCCATTACAAGAGCTCAATTAGATTAGGGGAAGCATGGATCATAACTAATCTGCCAATACCATCAGATTGTTACACCAGACCATGAACAGAAATATAAGTTGACTCTCCATGTTTCCATGATTTCTTCTTCTGGGTACCTTAAACTGGAGAGACAGACAAGGATCTTGTTGTCTCTGGTCACAAAAAATTTAGTATTGTAAACTGGTTTTTTTGTTTTGTTTTGTTTTGTTGTTGCATAGTTCATGCATCTTGTCTAGGGCATTTTCCCGAGTAGCACTGCTGACACCAGGGGGTGTAAGTGTAAGTAAGCAAGGTCTTTAGCACCAAAAATTGATAGTCAAACCCTATGCCCCCAATAAATTACATGCAAAAAATCCTGTAGTAGATGAAGGAGAGAAGAAGACGACAAAAAGAGAGATGACTCAGAGAAGAGAAGGAATGGCATGGGGGGCAGTTTTGACTATCTTCTCTCTGTCAAGAACTGTTTTGTGGGCAGGGCCAGCAAATTAATATTTGAGGCCTTGAAGGGGGAAAAAAGAAAAGAACACTGTTGTTGTAAGCCTGGGGAAGAGAAGAAAACAGTGGAAAAGGGTATCATCTCAGTACTGCTAAAATCTTCCCCCACAGCCAGCCTTATAAATCTCTGCCTCTGTTTGAGAGAGTGAGTTGGGGATTGGCAAATGTGCTCTGAGCTCGGCTGTGAACCAACTACATTGTCGGCCCTCATTACCACCATCTTCATACGAGGGAGAGCTGACTTTTGTTAGAGCTACTTCTTTGGTTTGTCTTATGCTCTGTATTAAAATTAGGATCTATTTATTAACTTATCAATTTCGATTAGTTAGAATTGTTAAGAAAAGTTGAAAGATGATTAAACTTAATACTATTATGCTAGGCTATGAATCATCACTTCATAGTTCATACAAGCCGTGAACAACATCATTATGATAGCAGTCCACATCATTACCAAAGTATTTAGCTGAATACAATCATGTGTATCAAATTTTCATTCTTTTGTTGAGAATGATTGATTCTTTTGTTTTGAATCCTTCATATAACTTACGTAAACTGCTTACTCAAATCATTAACAAAGCGAAAAACAACTTGGAAAATGGACTGCGTAGTAGCCATTTCACCAATTGAGACACATTAGTCAGAGCACCAAAGCTAAACCAATAACCATTTGAATTAGATGCAAGTTATCGTTAGCACAAAAAGGACCAAAGAGTTTGCTCCATGACCATGAGATCTAGTCCCATGGTTTTGTATTTATTTTCTCCAAACAAACCAACAAATGCTAAGATCCATTCCCAAAGCAAAATGCAGAGAAAGAGAGAGAGAGAGACATGCACGCATACACATCCACATAAAGACTGCAGGTTTAGACATTTCTCATCTCTTTTCTCTACAAAAAACAATCCCATAATTATCTTTTCAAGTTCTTAGTTTTTATATAATCCTTTTTCCTCATCTTCTTCCATTGGCTTCTCTCAACTGTCTCGTCAGCCTCACTGTCTTTTTTCTCAAGTTGTCCACTGCCCTTTAACCAAACTTTTGCAGTCCCCCCCTTTGTCAGAACTCCCACCTCAAGAAGAAAAAAAAAAAAACAAAAACAAAAACACAAAAAAGAAACAAACTTTCCTTCTCTCCTTCACAAACCCAACCAAACCCATTAATAAAAACCCCAACCAAACCCTGCAGTAAAGCTTACTCACTTAACCAAAGTTAAAAGAGAACAAAACCCAAACCTTCCCTTCCTCGCTCCCTCTCTCTCTCTCTCTCTCTCTCTCTCTGTGTCTGTCAATGGACTTCCATCTGAAGCAATGGAGGAACCAACATGAGTCAGAAATGGAAGAAGAAGAACAACAACAGCCATCCACCAAGATTCCAAAACTCCTATTGGATCCCTCTCCTCCTCCTTCTGCTGCTTCTGACCACCATCCTCCTCCTTCTACTACTACTCCTCTCCCTTTGTTTGTACCTTCAGCTGATTCAACTACCAAGCTCACCAGCAACCTCAGCTACAGCAATCTGTCAGCAGTTCCCACAAGTAAGAAGAACCTCATCTACACTCTTCATTTCCCCGTTTGGTCTAATTTCAGCTAACAAAAGATTCCACCTTTACCTAAAACACACTTCATTTCTTTTCAACCTTCATTCCCCTTCTCTTTTGTTTGGCCTAATTTTGTGATAAAGTTTGAACCTTTACTTCCACTCAACTTCATTATTTCCCCCCCTCTACTACTCTGTTTTTTTTTTACCCTCTGTTTTTGTTTTTTGAATAGGGATGGGAAGTTACTTCAGCTTGGCGCAGTGGCAGGAGCTGGAGCTTCAAGCTTTGATCTACAGATACATGTTGGCTGGATCTGTTATACCTGCTGAACTCCTCAACCCAATCAAGAAGAGCCTTCTCCTTCACTCTTCCTCTGCTTCCCCTGCTTCCTTTTTCCTTCAGCATTACTCCAATCCCTATCAGCCTTCTGCCTGTAAGTAGTTGGTACCTTTTGCTTTTTCAACATGTTTTGTTATGGTATTGCTTCTGATTGATTCCTCCAATATAGGTGGGTAGTTAATTCTTGAGAGTGTAACATTGAAGTCATAGATTATTTCTAGACTGTCTGTTCCTCATAGATATTTGAACCCTTTTCTGTGTGCTTCCCAAGTTCTTGTGGTACTCCTCTTTTTTTGGTAAACGGGAAAAACATCTTTGTGTTTGCAGAAGAGTGGAATCTAAAGCTAAAAGGAGAAAAGTTTGTGTTTTTTTTATTGTTCAAATCTTGAGAGCTATCATTGATCTTACATCAAGACTGGAGCTTTTAACGGTTTATGGATATGTTTTTTTGGTTTTTGTTTTGCTAGTGTTGCAAGGGGGATATTGGGGAAAGGCAGCCATGGATCCGGAGCCGGGGCGGTGCCGGAGAACCGACGGCAAGAAATGGCGGTGCTCTAGAGACGTGGTGGCTGGCCAGAAGTACTGCGAGCGCCACGTCCATCGCGGCCGCAACCGTTCAAGAAAGCCTGTGGAAGTTACCACCGCCGCTGTCCCCTCCTCTCTTGGTGCTGGTACTTGTTTCAACTCCTCCACCGCCGTCCCATTTGGCGGTAGCTCTGCTCGCCCGCCGCTGGCGGTACCTCTAGCTAGTGGAATCGGCGGAGGAAGAGGGGGGTCTTTCCCTTCAGCTGATCTACTCCATCTGAGTCAAAGGTAAATAAAAATCTCATCTTTTTGATCAACCGATTAATGGGTTTTGGTGGGTTTAATTCGGTGATAAAAGGGTCTTGTCTCCTTTTCTCAAGCAATGGCGAAAGTTGTTTCCCCAAGTTGGGGATTTATGAGACGTCACTGTTTTCAGTTCTTTAGAGTGAGCACTAAGTTAAGAAGAGAGTCAGAGTGTTGCCCCCACCATTTTTTTTGGTTGGTTGCTGGTGGGCAAAGTTACAAAGTAGGACCAGTCCCATTTATGTCTCAAATCTGGGGAGAATTTTCGGATCTCTCATGAATGGACAAAACATGGCCACTTTTGCCTTACCCTTATCTTCCAACTTTTTTTCAAGTAGGTATGGAAGTAATGGTTGTTGTTCTCCAATGTAATTAAATCTCAAATGCTCTGTTTTGTGTTTGTTTGTTTGTTCTGTGCAGATCATCGGGGACTGAGGCCGGCAACAACAGATCAGACGGCGGCCACGTCCTGAGACATTTCTTCGACGACTGGCCGAGAGAGTCGGAGGATAACGGCGCCGGAATCGGCTCCAGTCCGATGCATTCCGCAACCTGCCTGTCGATATCAATGCCGGCGCCGGCGGCTTCCGACGTGTCGTTGAAGCTGGCTACCGGGAACGACAGCGGGGCAGGGGAGGATGGAGAGAGTGAAAGGGCCCGAGCCCAAATGAACTGGGCCACGGGATGGGCTGGGAACCATATGGGTGGGCCGCTGGCTGAGGCCCTGAGATCGTCCTCTTCAGCGTCGAATTCGTCTCCTACAAGTGTTCTAAGCCAGATTCCTCGCGGCACTGCTACTGAGACTAGCTTCGTCAGCGCTTAGAAAAACAGCCATTTGATTTCTCTCCTGCTTTGGAAATCTGTGTATACGACATCGTTTAATAATTGCCTCTTCTTCGTGCTTCGATTTGTGTTCTTTTGTATGAGATGTTAGTGGATTCGTTTCATTTTATTCGTACGAGTGTGCCTCTAGTATTTACAGTAAATTGCCTTTGTTCGATGACAGTCGTCGGTCTTTCTTCTATCTGAATTGTTTCAAGTCTGCATGTGACGTTGCAATTTTATCGGATGACCCCTGAGGTGAGAAAGCTGTATGTAAGTATGTAACATTATCGGACGGTAACTTGGTACAAGCTATGTCATCTTATTAACTTGGGAAGGAAGGTGGCAGAATAAGACATTATTATGATCTACTACATGGCAAGGCGCAGTAGTATTATGACTTTTATGAGGCATTTCGCTGTACAATAGACTAATGATAATAGAATTGATTACTAACATCATAACTTACGCCTCTACCTTACTAGACGTGGCCACTTGAAGCAGAATGACAGCTTCACCCCATACCAACCATGAAGCCAAAGACGTCCACCCCTCCCTTCTCTGCGTCTTTGCCTTGTGTTCGGTTCAGTTATCACGTCATCTCTGGATGAATGAACTGCTTGGAGAGCTAGACTTCCAAGAGAAATGGAATGGCATTTTGCAGCTGCGACTGTATCTGAGGGTTTCCATGCAGCTGTTGTGCCATCGAGATCAGAGTGACGATGATTCTTAGCTCTGGACGAGCTCTGATGCAGCATCATCCTCTGCTGCTGCCTCGGGTGCATCTTCTGGTTCTGGTTCTGGTTCATTGTCGTCAACCAATGTGGAGGTTGTTTCGATCTTCAAGGGAGCGGATTCAGGTTTATCCTCCACCAAAGCGTATACTACTGCTGTTCTTGCTGGGGCGTACACCATGATGGATCGAGGCCTGTCATCGTACCAACCTTCCTGTCAAAGAAAACAGTAACAGTTGTTTCGTGAGGGCATGCGTACAAGTTCACGAGGACTGTGGAGGAGTGAAGGGGATTTTCGTACGAAGGTAAAGTATTCGGCGTTGTGATCAAGCCTGTCGAAGCCTCCGAAGAGTGCATCATCCGAGTCCAAAACAATCTGTGGAATGAATAGAGAGAAGGTGCTTTGAGACGAGATGAGGAAATGCAATGATGGTACCGGGAACAGAAAAGAGTTGGGAAAGAGGACAAGAGAAAGAGGGTGCGGTGCGTGTACCTTGTACTTTCCAGACTTGTGGCAGCCAATTCTGTAGTCGGAGTAGCTGTTGTTCCAGTGGAAGTTGAAGACGAACACAAGGTTCCCTCTCTCAAACACGATCACCCTATCACCTTCGTCTTTCCTCGATATGTACTGGTGAATGTCAGTCATGAACTGCAATAAAAACCAGAACCCACAGCTCAATTGTCATTTTCCATATCGGAAATAAATACAAAGACAACAAATGAGCAGATGAATAGGAGCATCAGCAACTCACGCCATAGGTTCCTTCAAGGTGATGCATTGCCCTATCAAATTCTTGCAACCCATGGTATCTTAGATATTCTGCATCCCCCTGTGCAAACAGGACAAAACAGAAAGGTGACTATTGTTGTGAGAAAAAGAAGCTAAAACCTAAAATACATCCAGTCTTACTGAGGCGAGTTTAATTTGTCCAGCAAAGGTCACTAAATATTGAGTGACTGTGCCACAAATTTCAAGGCCAGCTTACCAGATCAAATCTGCGTCGGCATTTATCAAAACTGTTGTTGTTCCCTGGAACAACTTTGCCATTGGGAAGATGTTGATCACCTCGTGGGAAATCAATCCACTCTGGATAAATAAGAAATAACGGGCACCATTATTATCTATGAATATGGTGAATTTTCTCATCAAACATTTATGAAGAGAAGAAGAGATAAAATATTACCAGGATGTCCGAATTCATTTCCCATGAAATTCAAATATCCTTCACCCCCCAATGCCATGGTGATAAGCCTGATCATTTTGTGCAATGCTATGCCCCGATCTATGAGAGGAGTGGCTGGCCGGTCAAGAGCCATGAAGTCATACATATCCTGAGAAAATGAACATATTTGAGATGCATATTCCGACACAAGGCGGAAGGGCTAGGTAGCAAGTTATCAATGATACTACCAACAGGACAATTTACTGACACTCAAATGACAGGAACGCGAAAAAGTACTAGCTCTATTTGTTCACTTCCTGACGTAACATCTAAAATGGTCACCATATAAAATTAACAAAGGAGTATGACCTTGTCCATCAACCAGAAGGCAATAGTCTTGTCGCCAACAAGTGCTTGATCATGACTTTCTGCGTATGAGATACATTTTTCCAACCACCTTCTATTTGTCAAAGTGTGAATGATATCGCCCATTCTCCAGTCTTCATCTCTCTTCCTACAGAAAGCATGGACGCATTTAATATACAGTTCAGATATTCTTCCCAAGGAAACATCAAGCAGGCTAAAGAATTAAATAGATTCAGACCAAATAAAAATTGAATTCTATTATTGGTATGAACATACTGTAGAAGTTCGATCCATTTATCAGCAATGGCCATGTGAAGACGGTAATCGAATCCTACTCCACCATCTTGGATAGGAACGCAAAATGTAGGCATTCCACTAACCTGTAAAACAAAATGCGATTGGCACGCAATGAACCTAAGATTAGGCTGCATTTCAATCAATAGAGGAAATTCTAATGTCAATTTTCACGAGGTGGCAGCAAACATACATCTTCGCCAATGGAGACGGCCTCAGGGAAAAGACCATGAATCATATCATTAACAAGCATCAGATAGACGACAGCATCTACATCCGTTGCAAATCCAAAGTACTCGTTGTAGTTTCCTGTAAAAGTCATCTATAAGAAGCTTTTTATTAGCTGACGGATAGACAATTTTGGAGCACAAATAAAAGAATAGTTCAGTGAGATAGGCGAAAAACTTATAATTTTATAACATTTATAGTAGAAAGTGCATGGTGAACTATGGGATTGATTATCTCAAGTCAGCCATGTGGTTGGATAGGATAAAACATATAGTTATCTAGTAAGTGAATGCAAAAAAGCAGTCAATTCAGTCTATAGTATAAAATCACAGCTCGATACCTGCAATCCATGATGAGTGTACATCATTGAAGTAACACCATCAAATCTGAACCCATCAAATTTAAACTCATCCAGCCACCAACGTGCATTTGACAGAAGGTATCTAACAACCTGTATTAACCAACAAGTAGTCAATAAGTAGAGCAGAGAGGAAGCAGAGCATAGGCATTGACATGTTTCTCAAGATCCCACCTCCCAGCTTCCATAGTTGAAAAGACGAGAGTCCCACATCCAATGATGTCCCCGTGATCCAGAGTGGAAGTAGTGGGAATCAGTCCCATCAAACATATTCAGCCCATCCAACGTGTTATTTGATGCATGGCTGGACACAAGATAAGTATATGATATATTAGAGAAATCCATTTTAGAGTAATGAGTATGTTTGAATCTATTTAAGAAACAAAAGCCTGGGTTACTTCTTAGACAGCAGCTTTATACACTGCTAACAGGGTGCTTATTTATCGCTCTATGGCTAATCAGAGTCAAAGAGAAAGAGACTGCCAAGTAATCTCGTTCATAACCTACGGTAAATACTCATCACCAAGCTAGAATTTATGCACTGAGCTCGAGAACATAGAGTAGCAAAGTAAATGGACCCGCGAGGTGAGAGGAGGGAGAAACAACATCCCACTGTGAGAGAAACCTGATATTGGGAACATTCTCTCATGGATCTGCTTAAAAACAGTTCAATCAATATAAAACTTATTTCTGTCTCACCTGTGAACAATATCCATGAGAACTAGTAGACCTAGTTCGTGAGCTTTATCTATCAGAGACTTCAAATCATCTGGTGTCCCAAAACGACTGCTAGGCGCAAAAAAGTTCGTGACATGGTAGCTGCAGCACAGAAAGATAAATTTTGAGCTAACAGTTCAATGTCCTTGAAATCAGCCAAACAATTTAACCTCTTTGACAAAATGAAAAGATAAAGGTGCTCAATGTTAAACTATTAAGCTACCCGAAGCTGGCATAATATGAGTGCTCCTGAATAGCCATGATTTGAACAGCATTATAGCCAAGTTTCTTGATGCGGGGCAGCATTTCATCTCTGAAGTTAGCATATGTGTTGATCTTTGGTTCCTGTGTTCAATTGCACATATTAGAAGGGAAGCTATATACAGTAGAAGGTAAAAGAGTAGAGGCATGGAACCCGTTTCTATTGTGTTAATAATAGTGCAGAACAAGACACTAGTAACAAGTTTCACCATCAGCACTTCCCAAACTCTGGGGAAGCCCTAAAAGAATATCATCTCCAGAAATTACATGGCAGAGAGTGGAGAAAACACACCGTACTGCTCATCCCAACATGTGACTCGTAAATCCTCAGTGATTTTGGTTTTTTTGGTTGTGGATGCTTGAATACATACTTCTCCTGTAACAAAGGAACACAAGATCAGAACCAGATAAGTTTTAAATATCCATACTTAAGACAGAAAGGCACACTCGGCATTAAACTTATATCAGCAGGCAGCAACAAGAATTAAGCTACCAATAATTTTGACAAAGAGAGAGAAAAATGATCCGCTGCTGAAACTTAGCATCGGCACAGTGGCTGCCAAATACTCTCAATAGTTGGTATTTGCTGAGGCATGATTAATAATTTATACACAAACTAGCATATGCCTAGGTACAATTAAGAGTAGAAACTTATCACTTTCAAGCTTAAGGTCAGTCTGAACTAATGCATTAATCAGATGCTATTGGTTTCACCTACTACAAGAAGTCATTAATTTCTTAGAGCATAGATCCCATCAGAAAGTTCTCTTAGTGTTTCCCGTGAAAAATATAAGTCAAAGGCAGAGCAACACCTCTTCTGGTGGGTCATAGTAGATGCCGTTGTATGGGATTTCGCCAGGAGCTTGTACAGCAAACTTAATCCAAGCAGGAATAGAATCCTTCAAGCCAGATGGAGTATCCATTCGTATCTGTATATTGTTGGACAATAATTCATTATTCTCCTTCACAACTGTTAACAAATGGCTGTGTAACAACTGATTCATCAGGTTATGCAGTCACTCTAGATTCAGAGTACTTCAAGAGGCATATTACCTTCACCCTTGAACCATGGGGAATTGGCGATGAACCATCTGCATTGTTGGGCAAAAAGATCTCCCAGACACCAAACTCATCCTGCCCAGAAAAGGAGAAGGGGATTTTAGAGGATTTTCAGTCCAAGAGCCAAAGTTGACCCTTGTACACATACATGATTTTAGATCCAGATACGCTCAATAAAAGACAATTCAGTATATTAAGAATGAGCTGGAAATTAACAAAGAAATTAGGAAGGTCACATACCCTAGCCATGACATCTGCATTGGGATTCCAGTTGTTGAAATCTCCTATTAATGCTGCCCTCTGAAAACAGGAAGATGCCATTTTATTACTCCCATTCAACATTCATCAATAACAGCAGTCCACAATCATCAGACTATCATAATGATTCATCCTCTTATATAAGTCCGAAGGGCAATTCACTATCACCAGGTCCTACTTAGTGGTCACACACATATCTTCATTGCTACAATGTAATTCATTATATCTATACCCCAGAAAGATATAAGTGCTGTGAATGTATTTTCAGCGGCAGTCTATTGGGTCGACAAAATGCAGAATGAAAGCAAGGGTACTTACTGTTGCTCCCGGTGCCCATTCTCTATATGTTATCCCTGTCTCACTGAGAATTACAGTTGAGATTAGAGCCAGAGAAAAGATCTGCTAATTAACTCATGGAATTGAACTTCCTTACTAGAACAATTAGAATATTAAAATGCCTGCTACAGCTGCAAATTTCCAGTTACACTAGATACTAGATGTGTAAATAAATGCGAAGATATGACATTAGGAACAGGCTTGGAGAGGTGAACTAATACTTCTCCTTCAAAGAAGTGAACTCAGTTTCACAGGCATCAAATATGATTTCAAATAAAGCACAGTACCTGCGTATAAACCCAAACTTCTCATAGCCACGTGAAAATTTCTCTAAACCACCTTCAAACTTGTCAATGTCCGCACGCATTCTTTTGTACTGTGAATATCTGTAGATCATCAGAACAGGGGGTGTTCACTAGGAGGTTTAAGGCCTGAATCATCACCAAACAATCTCCATCTTCTAGGACAAGCACAAAGGCATCATAACAATTCCCCTCAACCATTCATAGGGTGATCAGTGAGTACAAGGTTTGAGCCTTGAGCTTCCAACCAATTAACGAATTATCTAATATCGCACCTGTAATCAAGATGCTGACGGAAACTAGACAAAATTGGATCAATGTCATATATTCTCTGCCCAGCACCAGGTGGAGGAACGGTTCTCTTGTCAGTTTTCTCTCTGGTGTCAGGCAATACCGCAATTTTCTCCTGTTCGTCCAAGACCTCAGTACTCGTGTCGCCTACCATGCTTGAGCTTTCTGGTACCTCACGAAGGACCTAGAAAAAATTATCATAAAAGAACCATGAAAACCCATAATTGAGCAAAAAGGTAAGAGTGCATCGACAAATGGCAAATGTACAACAATTCTCAAACCTTGGGATCCTCTGAAACAATGTCTGAAGTCTCTAGTTGATCTGTCGATGAAGGAGGCTTGGCTCCTGGAACAAGAACATTTGTTGTGAAAGAGGAGTCACCACCAGGAACGAGAACCTTTCCGGAAGTGGCTGTCGTTGAGGCCTCAGAATCATATGAAGAACTTCCAGCAACAATCTTCCCTACAAACAAGCACCAGATTAGTCTTCTATAACACAAAAGAACCAACCCCGCCAGCTACAAAAAAGAACCACTCTACATAATTCAGTCAAAACCAAATGCACCGCACATACAGACAATGTAATGCTTCAATTCCTAAGTATTCCACCGTTTTAACTCAATTCGTTCCCCTTTTTAACTCAATTCAATTCGTAAGTATTACACCGGGATCAGTCAATCAAATACTACTGTTTCATCGAATTCACAGAAAATGCAAATTGACAAACGCATTCCACTGCGGTACAAACGAGAAGAGACGCTGAATCATTTCATAAGAATTAAGATCACGCCATTGCTATTCGCCCATAAGCTCAAAACACTTTCCACCCACCAAAACCTTCAAAATCCAAACAGAAAGCAGCTACTAACACAATTTCATCGGTATCAACATGCACTAGGAGAAAACACATTCAATCCTGCGATCAAAATTCAGTAGCAGCAGGCCAGTAATTCCGAAGCAAACGAAAAAGAAAAACAGAGGAGTATAGCGAGAAATAGAGGAAGTACGTGAGAGCGAGTGCTTCTTCAAAGGGAAAGACAGCGCGGTGGAAGCGTTCCCGGCGACGGATGAGGAATTCCGGTGAGAGCTAGAGTTGTGATGGACGGACGGGACGCAAGGCAAGCGGATTCCTGAAATGGTGTAGTACACCATTTTTTCCCCCAGCTTTCCGCTGTCACTACTCGCTTTCTCTCTTCTCTGCAGAGAGAAATCAGATTAAACAGCGGGAGGGGAGTGAGAAGTGGAAATGAGCGGAGCGCTGTGGGGCAGATCTAGTGAGCGAGTGATGGTGGAGAAGCCATGAGAAGCGGGGAGTGAGAGAAAGAAGAGGAGAGGTTAGAGATATTTCTGCGCGGAATTTTCTTTTCTTGGGTTTACGAAATTCTTGGGAAAATAATTAAGTAAAAATTCAGTTGGGAGAATAATTAACTGGCTTTGCTTTGCCACGATAAAATCGAACGAACGAGCAAAGGAGAGCGGTAAGTAAAGTAAGTGCGTGTGCCGTGGGCCCGGCCCATTTTTTCCCATGCACTACTCACCGTTAATTTTTTTGGTTGATTTTATTTCTTTTGAGATTACAGAAAAATAAAAAGCGGGTCATCAATCATGTGTGATGCGTCGTCGTTTACTGTGGCGGGTGGCTTTCCGGTAGACCGGTACTGGTCCCTTCGAGTTTTCGCGCTTTTTTCTTTCGCGGAAAAAATAGAGAGGCCTTTTGGGAGATTTTCCTTTCTTTGAGAACTTCTTTCCTTTTCTATGAAACTGTAAAATCTTTCTGGAATCTTTTGTAACGTGAAAGTTGAATTACGGTTTCCTTTCTCTTTCGGGGGACGAAAATGACAGAAGTAGAGCAAGATATTAATATAGCAGTACTAATTTGTTCTTTACTGCTTCTCCAGTTTCCCATCAAAATGGACTGGAATATGCCAGAGCACAATACCAAATGATTCCAACCCAAATTCACACAGCCTGTGAGATGGAGTTCTTATGTCATATATAGTCATCTTACCCTAGCTAGTAGCTACAGTCTCAAGAACACACAGGTTTCCTGCCCACAGGAGCGAAAAGGGCACACAACTACAAGGTTACAGCACACAGTAGTAAATAAGTCATACATGATCGGTAGATGGTTGTCTCGTAAATCAATCTGGCCTATTATTTCGACGAAATGTCGTCAGTGTCGCGGACTAATTTCATCGAGGGAAGGACGATTGCAGCGATGGGTTTATCTGGCAGGCCGCCACCTTCGTCAATGATCAATCGAAGACCTTCAATGTGAAGCTTGCCATGGTGGCCGCTAACCACGACTGTTGGCTTTTCGGTCAACTCCTGGAGAGAAAAAAAGGATTCACAAATTCAGCTCCATCGTCTGATCATTGTTCAACTAAAGGAGTTCTCTGTTGAGAGTTGAGAGATTCACCTGTGGGATGTTCCATACGTTCTTCCTCCCGCTCAAAGGCTCGATCTTTGGCACTAGGGTGTCTTTAGCTTTCAAGAGCTTCAGCTGTTCCTGCACGTCTTTCCCCTTTTCCAGACCGGCATGGACTGCGATCAATCTGCAGTGTTTAAGCTGTCCTTCATTCTCTATGCACACATCTTCCTGTTTCAGAAGAAGCAGAAGCAAAGCTAAGCTTTGAGCTATCTTGCACCAACTTCACAAATTGGCACAACAGGTATTTCAGAAGAAACAAAAGAGGGTTTGCTTACTTCTTCATGGACCCAAGCCATATTAGCCAGAAACTCCCTGTGGCTTTCAGGAACTGCCTTCCTCAAATCTATAGCACAATCAGCAGCTCAAGTCAAAAGAATCAAAAACCACTTTCCAAATCGAATCCTAAACCACTTAAACTATAGAGAAACCCAGGAAACTACCAAAAACAACTGACAGAAGTATCAGTCATTGACAATTTGAAACAGCATCATCCACCATAACCAAAAACCGCACTTCTAAATCAAACAACCACCAAATTGACCCTTTCTAGTCTACATCCAATCCTAGTCCAACACGCTGAACCAGAAGAGAAGAAGCTGGAACCAGTGTCTGAAAACAAAACAGCATAATCCACCATACAAATAGGGACCCCATTTCTAAAACAATCAAAGCATCAAATGAGGCTTTTCTTCAACCAGAAGAAGCTCAAAACCAGCTCCTCAATTCAAAACAGTACAATCACGTTGGGAGAGGTCGAAAATTGGATCTTAACTAGGGGTTACTGGGATTGGAGGAACACACAGTTTATCTATCATCAAATGAATCTAATATAGTCCCTCACATCTTTTAACATCCAATTCTTACAAAATGAACTAGAATGAACTCCAAAACATCTCATGAAGAACAAAAAGAACAAAAGATCAGTCATTTGCACTTGGAAATGAAAAAAACAGAACACAAACCCAAATTACCAGAAGATCCATGCTCGACGCCGTACGACTCAAAAGTCGGGCCAGCATCATAAATCGAACCCAGGTACTCGGTCCCTTTCGCAACATTCACCTTCACAGTGATCTTCCCAGCCCACCTCCTCCCTTGCAGATACATTTCCTCATATCCGTCCCCTTCGTACCACCCTTCTCTCTCCTTATTAGCCTCGTACTCTTTCCATCCTACACGGAAAGACTCGGCGTTTCCCGGAAGAAGGCCGAGGAACGCCGCGAAGGCGAGGTCGTGGTTGCCGGAGAGGAACACGTGGCTCTGGTTCGGGTACTTGGCAGGGAGGCCGATTAGAAAGTCCATGACTTTCTTGGTGTCCGGGCCGCGGTCGCAGTAATCGCCGAGGAAGATGACGAGTGCGGTGGAGAAATCTGCCGGGTCGGTTAGGGTTTCGAGATTGGACCAGAGGTTTTGGAGCTTCGTGATGTAGCCATGGATGTCGCCCACGCAGATTACGGTCCTCGGCCTCGAGTTCGACATTGGACGGTTGCTCTGTGGTGGGGGGGAGATAGTTTGTACTTTGCAACTATCACAACTTTATTGCCGATGTGAATTTAATTCGTGCCGTAGATATATATATATATATATATATATATATATATATATATATATATATATATATAATTGTTTTTTTCCCCTTCTACTACATTTTAAATTTGTGCATTTCTTATAAAGTAAAAAGATTTTCATTGGCAAATTGTTGAACTTTGTGTATTTCAACTATAAAAACAATTTACCATAGTCAAAATTAACCGTTTGAATAATGAATTCTAATGGATCAACTTAATATACTCCTTTAGTTTCGATACAATTGTTCGGTGGCGGAGGTGGGTCACTGAGGCCAAGGTGGGTCATTTGCATCACCTTAGCCCAAAAAATATGGAGTAAATTAATTTATATGATTGTTGATAAATACAAAATTTCTATATGATTGTAGATAATTTTACGTAAAGTAATGTTTTATGATCTCTATTTAACTTTTAGTTTATATATTCGATAAGAGATTTTAGTATATACAAAAACTCGAAAAGTAATGTTATTACTTAGACCTGTTTGTTGCTATCGGTTGTCATTCAAGTATTGAAAGAGTACTTATGCAATTAGCAAAGTAAAGAAATACTTCATAATAAGATGAGTTGTGTAATCATGAACGATTTTTCGTTGTAATATCTTAACATCTCTCATAATTTGCTTGATGAATATATTTTAGGGGTTAATTGCATGGTTGGTCACTGAAATTATAAAAAACGTTCAAGTTTGGTCACTCGAAATATTTAAATCCATTGGTGGTACTTCAGTTTACTGAAACCGTTCACGTTTGGTCACTCTCCGTCCAACTCCGTTAACTTTTGCTGATGTGGCAGTCAACTCTCAAAGTTGACCGTTAACTTAGTGACGTGGCAATTAAAAAATTATTAAAAATAAAAAAATAAACTTTTATATTTTTCACCTCATTATTACATTTATTAAAAAAAATAAAAAAATAAAAAACCTAATTTCTTATTACATTCATTAAAATACTGGTCTCCCCTGTTTTCTACCCGGTGTTCAACCGAGATCGATTTCCCGGCGACGCTGAGGGACAGAGCAACGATGCTCCAGCAGCTGCCGAAACTGACACAGCATGAACCAGAACCAATCAAATCAAGAAATCACATTGAAGAAAAGTTAAAAAAAAAACAGAGGAAAGGAAGAGTCAGGAATTCAGGGGCTCTGTGGGAGAGGAGGCAAGTAAGTATCTATTTGAAAGCAAAAGCAAAGCCCCATTTGCCAGCTTTAGCATTCAATGAAGTTTCCCCAAAGAAACCAAAAGGACCCAAATCCAAATCAGACAAATTTGTAGTCAGCATTCAGCAGCAGCACAGCAAATGAAGATTAACCAAACAATGTCAAGTTAATAGTCTGCAAGACAACAGAAGAACATCTGAAGTTCATCTATGGAGGCAAAATGAGAATTGGGTTCATGGGTTCAGTTTCCCTATCTATGGCTACAACTCATGAATTTGACCCACTTCCACCAAATTCTACAGAACCCAAGTTAGTTCCAACCCTGTGGGCCAACATCAACAATGGAAAAGACTATACAGAACCATAAAGATGAAAACTTTGATTCGAGAAATTGGTATTGTGTATCGAAAACATCCACCTTGCTTTCAGTTTGGAGAAACTTAAGCATCAGAAACCACACTAAACTCGTCGTCTTCCTCTTCCACCGGTGCTGGAAAGTTGAGATCCAAAAAACTGTAGTTCTTGTCGATTTTGGCAGCCGGCGGAGGTGGTGGTGGTGGACGAGCGGCAGCTGGCGAAGGGTAGGAACCACCGCCGTTGAGATGCGACCTCTTGTGTCCGCCCAGTGCTTGACCCGAACACCTTTGAGCAATACGGGCACCGGAAAATCCTCTCCGCCGCAGCCACCACATTCCCCATTCCTCCGCCGCCGAGCTGGGTTCCGTTGAGGGAGCAAATCCGGCGGTGGGATCCCAATGCCTGTGACGATCAGAAGTTCAGAACTGTTTCGTCCTGCATTTTAATGAATGTAATAAGAAATTAGGTTTTTTATTTTTTTTATTTTTTAATGAATGTAATAATGAGGTGGAAAATATAAAAGTTTATTTTTTATTTTTAATAATTTTTTAATTGCCACGTCACTAAGTTAACGGTCAACTTTGAGAGTTGACTGCCACATCAGCAAAAGTTAACGGAGTTGGACGGAGAGTGACCAAACGTGAACGGTTTCAGTAAACTGAAGTACCACCAATGGATTTAAATATTTCGAGTGACCAAACTTGAACGTTTTTTATAATTTTAGTGACCAACCATGCAATTAACCCATATATTTTAGAAAATTTTCAAAACATGAACACATTCAACAACATACGTTATATATATCTTTTTCATATTTGACCCACCTTAGATAAATTTCTGGCTACGCCACTGCAATTGTTTCATACGGATCCATTTGACAATATAAAATTTGAACAAAACAATTTTATATGAGAAACATCAAATTGACTCATTTTGAGACAATTACAATTATATACGAATGATTATAGATAATGTGAATCGAATCGTTTCGTTTTAAACGACAATATGAGAGAATTCAAAATTGCTAAAAATTTACAATTGAGACACCTCTTTCTATCGTCTCTGGAAGTTGAGGTACTTGATCCCAAAAGCAAACACAAAGAAGAACAAACAAACGAACCCCAAATGGGCCACGGCGACGGCCGGAAGGAAGCTGTGCTTGTATCCCATCCCCTGTTCCAGCACCTGCTTCACCGTTAGGCTCGCCGAATCAGGAATCTCCACCAGGTTGTCTTTGTCTCCGACCTGGCTCGTCACCATTCCGTACAGCGTCCATGCCACCGGCGACGCCCAGTAGTACCACCTCCACCATATCGGGATTTGCTGAAAAAAAAAAAGAAATGAAATCGGATTAGCAAATCGGGGCCGGAGATTCGTCGGCGGGAAGCAGAGGAGTTTCGAAACGCTTACCGTCCGGGGAATGAGGAAGCCGGCGAACAAGTTCCAGAACGACAAGAAGAAGGACATGGAAATGGCGGCGATCTGGTGTCCCGGTGTAAGCGCGATGAGCATCATCCCGAAGAGCGTGAAGTAGACGAACGCCATGTAGATGTAGTAGAAGAAGAGCAGGAACTTGCCGACCTGCCATTCGAACCCGACCAGGGAGTAGAGGACGACGTGGTAGATCGCCGTCTGGACGAAAACGTAGATCGCTTCTATAGACACCTGCCAGAAACAAATTCGCCGGCGATCAGATGATTTTGTTCCATTTTTACTCCAGAGGCGAGTAAAAATTTCTTACCTGGGCGAATGCGTAAGGCAGAGCAGAATACATCCCGGCTGCTCGTTCGCGGTAGAAGACTGTTCTCTCGACGGAGACAACGGGCTGCACGGAGGAAGCAATGGTAAGTCCGAGGAAGAGAACCGCCGAGTAAATGGCTCCCAAGATGTTCATCAGGTCTTGCAGTTTCTCCCTGTTGGTAGAAATGAAGTGTGCATTGTTGAGTCCATTGCAGTCAGAAGTTGATACCGTGAGTGAAATTATATAGAAGATAGAAGGACTTACGTCTTCTGGCCTCTCTTCCAGAAGATGAGGCCAAACAGGAGGCCTACGAGAAATGTCAAGGCGAAGCGAACAGCGTTGTAACGAGGGTTCCTCCAGTAAGACCAGTTCTGTTTCCAGAAACAAGCCTTGTACTGAGTTGTGAAGGACTGTGAGTACTGCGTCGGGAAGAAGAGATCCTTCGACCCCGGTGATGGTGTGTTGAGCTCCTTAATAAGTTCTTGATTCCGCCTGAAAATTCGATTTGAAAGAACCTGGGTAAGAACATGGTTGCCACAATTCGTCCCGATTTAGTCTGTTGGATGATGTACTTACTGATATAGGGAGGAATTTGCATAAATGTGGGCAAAGTCTACATCTAGCTGCAGTTCCATTGATGGTGAACTCACTTCGAGCATCCATGTGGCGGGATTGTATCCATCTTTGATACCAGGAACTCCCGGGACAGCCTTTTCGTTTTAAGTAGTAAGATTCATCAGAAATTGAGTAGATTGTTGACACTCAGGCAGGGATGGAAAACAATTCAATCTTAGTTATGACTCAGGGTAGATGAGCTTATGAGATGCACCGAGTGGGTTTACCTCGAAATACTCGACGAGCTTATGAGAAAGGTGGCCCAGAGATCCAACGTAGATGACTTGACCACCTCTTTTCATCAGCATTAGCTGCAAGAAGCAACAAACACTATGTGGATGAGTGCAAGAACAAGGAACATTGCAATGTACTAAGAATTCAGAGGCTCACCTCATCGAATGCTTCGAAAATGTCGATACTCGGCTGGTGAATCGTGCAGACGACGGTTCGGCCAGTATCGACTGTGTTTCTCACGGTACGCATGACAATGGCAGCAGCTCTAGCATCGAGGCCAGAGGTTGGCTCGTCCATGAATATGATGGAGGGATTAGCGACCAACTCCACCGCAATTGTCAGCCTCTTTCTCTGTTCTGTTGATAGACCATCTACTCCCGGAAGTCCAACTAAGGCGTCTCTTATTGGATTTAACTCGACCAAATCCATCACTTCTTCTACAAACATCTGCAGGGCAAAGAGTAGAAATGTGATCAAGCCAAAATTCCCAACAACTACTCCTGATCAACGACTTGTGTGAGTGATAGCTTCGTGCCAAGCCTAGTACACGAGAGATTGTTGACCTGTCTTGTTTTCGAGTCGATATCTTGAGGAAGTCGAAGCCAAGCCGAGTAAATGAGAGACTCGTACACAGTGACATAAGGAGAATGGATGTCGTTCTGTTCACAATAGCCACTGACGCGAGCGAATGTTGATTGGTTTTTGGGGTAACCAGAAATGTTGATACTTCCTTCTACATACCCACCGGTCTTCCTTCCAGCCAAGACATCCATTAATGTGGTCTTCCCTGCCCCACTTACACCTACTAGTGCTGTTAGTATTCCTGGTTGAAAAGCTCCGCTGACATCTCGTAACAGTTGGAGCCGAGTTTCTGGAACCCCCTGTGTCTTCATTTCCTGGTTGAGGTGAGAAGAGACCAATTTCTCACTTGTCTGAAATTAAGAATATTGTTCGATAAGACTTGCAAGTTCAGTGAAGTAGAAGGATGACTTACAGCAGGCATATCTACGTAATAGTTCACATGGTTGAATGCTAGCGAAAGGGGTCGGAAGGGCAAAACCATTCCTCTTTTAGTCGAGTTAGAACCACCATTTGCTGATAAACTTCTCATGGCCATGTCCATACCTGTCCAACATTTAAGCGTACTTGAGGCTTTTGAACAAGCTAATGTATGTCTCCTTTATGTTATCTTTTACTTGTTTGCACTGGAAGAAAGCTGGAGGAAGCAGATGAGGAGAAAATGAAGAACAAAGGAGTGATATGTTCATTTAACCTTTTGTCCTCTCTTCCTTCTCTGCATCTTCTTCTTGAATAACAGCTTTCAAGTCAGCAAATGCTGAAACTCGTGGGTGAGAAGAAATCAGCTTTGATTACCATGGAAGAAAACGAAGAACAACTCAAGGGATGATGAAATAGCTTACGGTTCAAGTAACTCAGTGCTGCAATGAAGCAAACATTGAACAGCACGGAAAACCCGAAGAGTGCTGCAACGCAAATCCAGTACCAACTTTCATCAGTAAAGAAACCTCTGGATTTGAGAATTGCTTTCCCAACCGTACTTTCGTTAATCCGAGGGTCCACATTCGGCTGCATCACCAGGAAAAAGTGATTACATGTGTACCTTACTCACAAGTCACAAGCAAAAGCGAACATGAGATAAGTGAAAGAACACTCACCATACTCCATCTATCATCAAGAAATTCATTTATGACGACTGCATTTTGACCGTACATTATAGGAGAAATGTAGTATCCCCAGATCATCCACGATTGGATGTCATCTGCACTCACAGAACAAATAACATCGTAAGCCTTGTACAACTGAAGGAATCTTGAAGAGCAAGATGTTCATCGGCCGCTTACCTTTGGCAATAACGAATCCTCCTAGAGCAAAAATGATAAGCAATGCGAAGGTTCCAAGTGTGTTTGACAGAACTGGTGTTCTTCCAACCACAGCAATAAAGCGGAAAAGGGAGAGCGCCATCTGATGTATACTGAAGAATGCCAGAAACTGTTTGAAAAGCCTGAACAATCACAGTAAAGTTTAAGTCAAGGAGAAGATTGAACCAAAGGTTAAAGAACAAAATATTAAACAACTTTAAATCCTAACTTACCTGCTAGCAGCTGGAGCAAAACCAATAGTGTAGTAAGTTAGAGCAATCCATATGGCGGACTCCACGAAAGAGATGGGAATCCTGAGGATCCATATGGGCAGCCCAAAAGCCCAGGCAGGAAAAAACAAGAAGTCCCTCTGTTTGTAGAACACAGGAAGCCTGGAAGTCGTCATGGAAAGCTCAGCCATTCCATTAAACATCATCTTAATGAGACTGAAGAACAATGCTCCGAGGAACTTGTTCCCATCCGATACAGTCCGGACTTCCATCGTTGTCCTCAGAAACACGGTGAAGGTAATTATCGACATGACTGTTATATGCGTGATCTTGAATATATACACGAAGTTGTTTCGCTTCATCAGAAGCAACTCCCTCGAGAAGCATGCCCTGAAAAGTTCCCAGTTCGAGATCCCGTACTTGCTCTTCACAAGTGCAGCATCGTGTACCTTGGACCTGTCATATGGAACACTAAGATCCGATGCAATCTGCTGGCCAATATGGAAAGAGTGGAAGCCTTCGACAAACTCAGTGACCGAGACATATCGATAAGGCTCGTCCCTCTTGTACCAGTACTGCTCCTGATCTTTCTTGGAAGTCACCTCTTGTAGAAAGTCTGCAACTCCTTTCCTCTCGGGGCATTTGAACCCCATATACTCGAAGAACTCGAGCACATTCTCTCGTGGACCTTGGTACACGATCCTTCCTTCCGAGAGCAAGATGACATCATCAAAGAGCTCAAATGTCTCGGGTGCAGGTTGTAGAAGAGAAATGATCATGGTTACTTCCATGATATGGACCATCTGTCTCATGAAGTTGCAAATCTGGAAAGTCGTCGAGCTGTCCAACCCAGTTGATATTTCATCCATCAGAAGGACCTTTGCTGGTCCACACAACATTTCTCCTGCATTCATCAGCAGCCCTGGTTAGAATAGCTCTCTCATTCCACATGCTTCCCTCCAATTCAAGAGACTCATACCAGTGGTAACACGCTTCTTCTGCCCTCCCGAAATCCCTCTCTGCATCTCATTCCCAACGATTATATCCGCACAAATATCCAATCCAAGTATCTAATAACAAATGCCACACACAACAAAACTCAGCGTGTAGTAAGAGATCGAAAACAGTCTGAAGACTAGAAATGCAGAAGACCAAGACCTTGAGAATGTAATCGGTGACCAAGCTAGTCTTCTGGCCAGAAACTGCAGTGGCCTTCATGAAGGCATCAATCTCAGGATCAGGCTTAACCCCGGCTTGTTTCTCCCGCCTGGAGAGCTCCACCAGCATCTCATATCTCGTCCCCACCCCCAAGCATCGCCCCGAGAAGTCGAATGTCTCCCTCACCGTCATCTCGCCATGGTGAAGATCGTGCTGACTGATGTAAGCACACGTCCTCTGTGGGACAAACTCGTTGAACTCATGGCCGCAGTATGTTATCTTCCCCGACGACTGCTCCACATCAAAAGTTCATTATCCTTCTATACCCACCAATGATCAAACCGCCGCGCAGAGAAAAAAGATAGTTTACCTTGAGATCATGATCGAGCTTTCCTGCAAGTGCAAGCAGCATCGTAGTCTTGCCTGCCCCTGGAGGACCCAGAAGAAGCGTCATCCTGAAGAAACAGAATCAGAAAAGGGGAAACAAAAACAATGGATTGAGAAATGAGACCGTTAGATAAACAAACACCTTGATGGTTTCACTATTCCACTGATATCTTGAAGAATCTGTATCTTCCTCTTCTTCGATGGCGCTAGCCAAATCCATCCAAGAACGTTCTGTTCAAAAATTTTTTGGAAATTATGAGCAAGTCAAACTCAAGAAGAAATGAAGTTCGTTCGAAGTCAAGCCGTTTTCCTAAAGTAGCTGGATTCTCCAAAATTGCGAGAATGACGAACGAATTGGGGAAACTATCACTATTAACACTCCAAAGCAAAGATCTAATGGAGGAAATCAAATCATAACCTCGACGGTGTTAATGGCGGTGTTGAACAGCGTCGGAAGAGCTCTGCTGCCGACGTGAACCTCGCCGTCGACCGATAAATGCTCGTACCTCACTTCAATCTTCGGAACTTCAATCCCTACTCTGTATCAACAAGCCAATCAGAAAACAAACCGGAAATAAATAAAGCAAAATAAAAAAATCAACAGGATCCGAAAGATAGAAGAGAGAAAAATCAAATCCAAATTTTAGAGATTCGAGTTCCAGTCCAGACCGATCGGTTCGATCTCTGAGTCGCCGGAGGAAATCCCCGTTGTCTTTCTCTACGACCTTGAGTATGTTCTCCATCAGCTGTTTCCTCTCCTGCATTCCGAGCTTCGTGACATCAACCTCGCTCCGCACGACGGCGCCGTCGTCGAGCACCGTCTTCAGCACGCCCTTCCTCATCCTCTCGAACGTCGGCAGCCGCTCGATGGCCGCCCACCGGAGCTCCTCCTCGTCGTCCTCCTGCGCCCTCCCTCCGGCCCGACTGAACGCGTCCGTCACCGGCGCCGAGGTGAACACATCGCGGAAGCTCCTTCTGCTGCTCGTCGATCCCACGAGATCGTCCGCCGTAAATGCCGCCGCCATTTCCGCTCGGCTCGGTTCTCGACAAGAAGAAACTATGAAGGAATGGAACAAACGGTTTACTGAACAGTCGCGGTCAGTGAATCTCAATAACCAGGCCGGCGTTAGCTAGGCCGTCGGCATTGCGTGCATGCCCGAACTGCGGCCGCCGGAGGAGAGGAAAGTCAAAGCTTGTGGAGAGAGAAGGAGAGGGAGGTGGCGGAGGTTTGAATCATGGCAGGGAGCTGCGTTGGCACTTGGCAGCAGCAGACTGGAAATATGTAATGGCAATTAGCGCGACCATGTGATTATGGGCGTGTTGTACGCCGTACGGCCATTTTTCTGCGGGGAAAAAAATATATGACTCAATTACCCGTTTAGCCTAATCCGAAATCGAAGTTAATTGATTAACTTAGAGGTGGTTAATTAATCATAAAATTGTGATAAGGGCAGCAGCAGATTCATGAATTTTATTTCTTTAATTTTTGTTGATCATTTTATAGCTCTAGCTTGATCAAATATCGACCACGTTTCACAAAAAAGATATTAATGCTCAAATGCTGGTCAAATAAGCTGCTAAGACATTCTACCAACAGTATACAAATCTATATTATCTCTACCGTTTTACAAGTGTTACAACTTACAGCTATGTAACACTATATATATATTGCACTAATCAGTCAAGAAGATTCAATTCCTCGTCCCAATCATGAATGCCGCATTACTTCGAATTTAGCAGTGAGACACCCAAACAAAAACTGATCATAACTGTTGTTATTTCTATTAAACTCCAAGAAGAACTAACCATGATCAAATTCTGTCGAAAAACTATTACACTATCTACGGAAGTCAACAGAGAAAACTGGGTAAGGAGTACAATATCCTACCAAGTCATAATCCCTTGCCGAGCTTCCACAAATTGCCCTAAAATTGAAATGCACTCACATCTAAGTTCTAACAGACTCATTGCCTTGAGCCCTTGACAGCTCTGTTTCCTTTTACTCTTGGTTTCCTTTTTGTTACGCAAAAACCTTCACAAATAGAAAGATGACTACACTGTTATGCTTTCCATTCCAGGCCCACGATTTTCTTCAAGACACGAGCATATACGGAATACCCCAAAAGTCATGGCCTGAAAGCCCAAAATAAGCCATTCTTCAAACCAAACCCAGGACACAGTCCAAGTATCTTCTCTTGGAAAATCAAACACGGAGGGGAAAAGAGAGAATAAAAAAGTTCTACACTCTGCAGCTTGCAGCCTGCAATCTGATCGTTCACATACGTACTGAAGAAGAAACAAGTTCTAATTCAAGGAATTCTGTTAGTTTACAACAATCAGCTTCTGCTAGACTAGCTTATATCGTTTCTGGACGACTAACTGGGGCAGGCCAGTACCTTCCAGCGTCTAACAGTAAGAAGCCTTCATCAATCTCCACTTGCACATCCCCTGCAGCCGCAATGGACACATTCTATGACCTCTTCCTCCCGCAGGTTCTTGGGAACTCGACAAACACATGTAGTGGCAAAGTTATGATCCCTTGGTTGCATGCATCTCAGGCAGCACAAGCGCTCATAACCAGGCTGAAACAAATCCAGCGCGAAAAAAGAGAAAATCAGCTTGAAGATTACTAAGGTCTCTTGAAAGCCTATATAACAATTAACAAGGACAAAAAGACTTGGGATTTTTAAGAACTAAAAACAAATGGAGTTATAATCTGTCTGGCCCAATTTGATCTTCACAAACACTTGGTCTAGATTCAACAAAGTCAGGACCTGTCCACCCCTATTCAGTATGTTCATTGCCCACCATAATATAAGCAGTAAGCAGTAATAGGAAGACGAAGTCCCGATCAATGAAGAGCATTTTGGAAGTGATACTAGGCTATTGAAGTAAACTAGGTTTGACACTCATGCATAAACCAACGCATTAAGAACTCAGCAAGAGCAAGAAGAGAGTCGCCAGAGGGAGGGTAATAATGCTGACCTTCTTCCACTTTGCAATGAGATTACGGTCTGCATAACCTTGATCCATACAGAACTCATACAATTCCTTGGATATTTCCTTCCTCCGATGATAAAGGTCGAAAATGTATCTGCTCTTTTGATGTGCTATTTTGAAAATAGGCCACAGTGCCTCACATTTCCTTTTGCCATCATGTGACTCGTTCTCAGCTGTCAAATGTCAAGATTAAACAACCATCAGCTAACGTAGACCATTCCACACATAGAGTTAACATGGGGATCCTTGCCAACGTTGAGTATATGGAAGTGAATTTACCTTCTCTCATCTTCGCCTGCAGCTCACGAAGAGTAGGCTCAATCAATTCCCATCCCTCTGGGTACTTGACTCGATTTGTCTTCACCTTTGGCATCTTTGCGTTCTGCATAAGAAAGGGTAGCATTAACCATTCCATTTACTCAACACTAAAGAACATAGAAAATACAGACCAATCAACTACGTACTAAAATTATTTCACATCTCAAAAGTACATGTTTTTTCCCGTATGAACAGGGAACATAAGCAACCAAACTGATGACTCCTACATCATCTATGCTACACCTATGGGCTATGGAAACATAAGTGGGATGACGGCTTACTCAATCGACAGTCTCTTGATTCAAGTTCATTGCAAAACGTTCCAACTATCAAGTACCAACTTCTCAAAATGGAGAAACAACTCAGACAATCAGCAGGCATCCTTAACTACATACGCGATGAAGCTCATAACACTAGAAAATTTCTGATACCAAATAATGAACTAAGTTCCCAACTGAAATCACTCATCATATGAACAGTTCATAAGAATCTACCTAACTGACCAACTGGAGCTGAGGCAATTTCCACCATCTGCATACCCCAAGCCAAAAACAACGAAGTGAACTAAGAACCCCCTATTACCAGCTTATCATCGCAGGTCAATCATAAGAACAAGAAGAGGACCACCAAAGGCGAGCTAAATTTCTAGGTTTTACTTTGCTAATTCCTAATAGCAACAATAAACTGCAGAACTACATAAAACTACCGAGAAAAGTTCTGACCTTTCCGCGGGAAACGACCGCGAAGATATCAAAATCGAAAGAAGAAGCGGCGAGAAGCTACGAAATCTTAGCATACCTTGAAGCAGGAAGGCGAACGAACCCAATTGGCCAGGACGAATGCGAAACTATCTCAGGAGACGGCTATGCTGGAGACGATTGCGAAGAAAAGTAAACGAAGATTGAAGATGTTCGAAACTCCAAAATCGAATCTGGGTTTTCTCCGGTAGTCGTGAACACGGCGGTCCGAGAGGGAGACTGGAATGGAAGACACAAGACAGATGAAGCGATGGAAAACGGACTTCCCGCAGGAGAAAGCCGAAAGGAAAGAACCGCTGTTGATCTGAGTGATTATTCATAACCTTCAACTTAATAACAACGTGGTTGGGCTGGACATGACCAAACCATTGGGCTTCTTTTGGGGCCCAAGTAGTGTACCTTGGAGAAACAAATGAATTAGCCAAAATCTGTGCAGTCTGCAGTTTTTCTCTTTTCTCATAGATAATCTGGGTGATCACATACATAACCAAATTAGTGACTATAATTCAAACACTTAGCCGTGCTAAGCATGTAAAATTGTGCTAACTTTTTCAGAACTAAATCAATACGACCGATTAGTGCGACACAATTCACTTTGAGAAATATTCGCGAAACTTGCACTTAGCTTAATGACAAAATTTATCTTGAAAAAGCATCCCCTCCGGCTGACCTTAGTCTGAGCCATTAGCCCATTACTATGTTTCAGATGATGGAATAATGATGAGAACAAACTGAAGAATCTATCTTCTCATGGACTAATATATTTGAATGGAGACTCAATGCAAGACAGGCTTAATACATAATTAAATCAACTGAGAACAAACAGAACTTTGGCCTAGAGTCTAAAAATCAAGGTTTAAACAAACAAAGGGACTTCTGGTATGATTTCTGGCCCCTTTTTTTCGTATCAAAGGAGGCATAAAACAAAATCCTATGTAAGATGCTGAAGTGAAGAACTGGAAAGGAAACAAAACTTACTTCTGGTTTGGCGATGTTAGGCAATGCTGTTCCCATTGATCAGAGGGTTTCCTTCCTCTCCTTTAAATTCTCCTCCCACCAGCATGCTCTTCTCACCATTCGCTCTCTGATAGAACAGTAACATAAACACAGAGTTAAAGAGGATCTGAAAAGCTTTACTTGGGTTGTGGGAAAGAAGAAGATAGAAAATGGGTTTTATGTGGGGTGCTTCACTTCTGGTTCTAGCTTTGGTATCTTCAATGGCGGTGGCTGACCCGCTAGTTCCATCGCTTACAATCTTTGGGGACTCGGTTTCTGATGTGGGAAACAACAACAATCTCATCACCCTCATCAGGGCAAACTTCCCTCCTTATGGAAGGGACTTCGCTGAGCATAGACCAACTGGGAGGTTCTCCAATGGGAAGCTGGCCATAGACCTCACTGGTAAAGAGGGGATAAGATTTAACTTTTGGTTTCTCCATTCAAGCATCAGCTCCTGGTTTGATTCTGGTCTAATGAAAGTTCTGCTGGTTTCGTTTGTTTCTTAAATGCAGCTGAATTTTTGGGTTTCGACACATATCCTCCACCCTATCTAAGTGAAGACGAAGCCAGTTTGGGAAGCGTCCTCACTGGAGCCAATTTCGCTTCAGGTGCTTCTGGCATGCTCGATGCGACAGCTCACCTATATGTAAGCTTCCTCAACACTACAAATTCTAACTAGAGACTGTAAAGGAGATTTAATTTTAAACCTCTCGCTCTCTTCTTGTTGGTGGGCTGCAGGGTGCCGTATCATTAACAAGGCAGCTCGAGAACTATAAGGAATACAGAGCAGGAGTGGAGAGCAGAATTGGATTTGAGAATGCAACCAACACGTTCTCCAAGGGGATTCATCTTTTGAGCACTGGAACCAGTGACTTCATCCAGAACTACTACGTCAATCCTATTCTCAAAACTCTCTACACACCTGATCAGTGGTCTAACAAGCTCATGAAATCTTATGCTAAATTCATTCAGGTGTGGTTTCAAGACTCATTTTAGCCTTTCTTTCCTTAATATGAAAACCAGTACTAACTAGAAAAGGGTAATGAGACAGAACCTGTACGGGCTTGGAGCGAGAAAGATTGGAGTGACAACCCTGCCACCAACAGGATGCTTGCCTGCAGCCATCACCCTCTTTGGCCACGGAAGCAACGATTGCGTCGAGAGGCTGAACTGGGATGCTAGTTCCTTCAACCAGAAGCTGAACACAACTTCCCAGAGCCTTGTACAAGGCCTCCCGGGGCTTACACTTGTTGTCTTCGACATCTACAATCCCCTACTGAACTTGATAAAAAATCCTAGTGACAACGGTAATACGAGAAATTCATTCAGATTCTTTATACAAACTGTCAATGCACATCCTGCTTACATAAAAACATGCTGACTCACAGTTTCCTTTCTGCTGAAATGCATGGCAGGGTTCGCCGAGGCGAGGAAGGCTTGCTGTGGAACAGGTGTCCTGGAAACCTCATTTCTGTGCAATGCAATGTCACCGGGGACATGTTCGAATGCTACCGAATACGTGTTCTGGGATGGATTCCACCCTTCTGAAGCTGCTAACAAGATCCTAGCCCAATCCCTGCTCTCACAAGGATTGTCCCTCATATCCTGATTCCACAGTTCCATCAATACCACAAAGCTCGATAAGATAAAATAATCAATTCATTGTTCTGTGATTCAATAAGTGTACGTCACAATCTGCAACTAATATATCAAATTCATTAATATAATGTTTCCACAAGCCTCAAGTCTTGGTAGTACTTTCTTCCTTAGTGTCCATTCTCCTCATTCTCGGCTAGGGTTTCCACTAAGAACGTTGCATCGTGATACACTCATTACGCTATGACATATCCATACCATACGCCCACCAAATATTAGCAAGTAAAGCAGCAACAATCGAGATAATCAGGAATAAGACAGCAATTAGAAATGGAAACCAAAGTTTTATCGTATTGAAGAGTGGAAACTGATCAATTCAGTACCAATTTTGAGTTTCTGAAACGGACACTTCCAATCTCTCGAAACATCAACCGAACGCGCGATGCCGTGAATTTCAAGCGGAGAAAGATCGCGAGAATGAAAAGCTCACTGGAGAGGTCAGAAATTCCTTTCCAAAGGCAGAGACACAAGTTGACTTCCCGATAGCATCCGACGAACGCATCGCCGATAAGATATCGCTGGCCGCTCAAAGCATCCGGCATCCGAGCAACTCTTGATGGCGGGAAAAGGAGAAATGAAGGAAAGGGGTGACCATTTCTGTATTTATAGGCTTGTTCAGACTGGACTGGGCTTGGTGTAGTTGGGCTGCTTAGTAATAAAAGCCCATTGTGACTGTGTGGAATAAAGGGCTTTTGTCATCTCTAATAAAATTCTTTGGTCTCCCTCAAAAAAAAAATTTAATAATAATAAAATAAAATTCTTTGGGCGGGTATAATTATTAGGCATTCAAATTGACCAGAACCATAATCCATTAGTAATATTTATGTACCCATAAAAATATTTGTAATCTTACCACTACAAAAGTATATATACTACAAATACTAATATTATTTCATATATAACTTATCAAAAGATGCCATCTTGTTATACAAAATCTTGATCCATTAAAAATGTTTGCTATATCACGGTTCAATTGATATAATCCGCTATCATTACAAGGTTTAAGTCATGGTTGTCACGCCGGTGGCATGCCACCCGGTTGAACCTGGTTCAACCTGTGCCGGTCATGAAACCGGCATGACACCGCCGGTATGACCGGTATGATCGATTTACGCATTTTAAGTAAAATGATATCATTTTAATGAGTTTAATGAATAAAAAAATTAATTTATTATTCATTTTATGAATGTAATAGTTAAAAGTTGATTATATTTGTTGGATTGTAACTAAATTGTCCACACCTATGTTTTATATATGATTAAATACATGAGATATTAATTGTTTTCACAATTTTTTAAATCGGCATGAACCGGCACAAACTGGTTATACCACTGATCGTACCATTCCATTTGCCAAACCGGCACAACGGTATAAACCGGTTTGACAACCTTGGTTTAAGTCCAAGTACACCCGATATAGAGAGATTAACCTTTCTAAAATATTACTCCTACAAAATAACTGTACTGTAACTCATGCTACACTGCTGTCACAAGCGAACAAGCTTGAAAGAGCAGGAATATGTTGGCTCACAAGTTACAAACATATCAAGGAAGAAGTTTATGGCCTTGAGATGTTCAACAGGCCAGCTTCCACCTAAGTTCCAGTCCATGGCGCCTTCATGAATCATGCTATGCTTGAATTTCAGCCTAGGGTCTTGTCCAGTATAAGAACTTGAGCCACTGAAGCTCTTTCAGTGGATCATGGAGAATTCAGCCAGTACTGAGCTCCAAGTGTATCATAACGAAATCCAGTACACATACCTTATACAAGTCCCGGTGTCTAACAGCCACCAAACTGAGAGACTTCTCGAGCATGAGATTTGGCAACACTACCCTTCCATAGCTGACCAGAAAAGCATTCCCCATGGAGTTTCGTTGAGTACCTGAAATGCTGAAACCAAAAGAACCCAATATTCTACACTCAGCTTAATGACAAAAGTCCGTTTCAAACAACATCTGCTTTAACCGTCCTCTCTTACAAGTTACAATGCTTCAGATGATGGAATAACGAAACAGAACAAAATAAAGAATCAATCTTTCTCATGGAATATTAAAATATATAGTTTGAATGGGGACTACTGCAACATAGAGGTAATCAGCTCAACTGAGAACCAACAGAACTTTGGTCCAGTCCAAACACCAAGAAATGGTACCTCTGGTATAATCCGTGACCTGGGTTTCAACTTTCCATCCAAACTAGGCAAAATGCTGAATAATAGAAGAATGGAAAAGGAAACAAAAGTGGCTTCCTTTGGCAGTTTAAGGGGATTGCCGATTGCATGTTCCCACTTTGACAGGCCTTTAAATAGCCCTTCCACCAGCCTGCTTTTTCTCATCATTCACTATAAGCGGGTTCTGATAAAAACAAACATAGACACACAGAGGTCAAGGGGAACTCGGAAGAAAGAGAAAAATGGGTGCTGTTTGGGGAACTTCACTTCTGGTTCTAGCTTTGGTCTTTTCAATGGCGGTGGCTGAACCTCTAGTTCCATCACTTACCATCTTCGGGGATTCGGTTGCTGACGTTGGAAACAACAACAATCTCATCACTCTCATCAGGGCAAACTTCCCTCCTTATGGAAGGGATTTCGCCGAGCATAGACCAACTGGGAGGTTCTGCAATGGGAAGCTGGCCATAGACATAACTGGTATAGTAGAAATAAGATTACTTCTTGGTTTTCTGCTATAGGAAGCTGACCATTCACGAAAGTTGTTCTGGTTTGGTTGTTTCTGAAATGCAGCTGAATATATGGGTTTTGACACATACCCTCCTCCCTATCTAAGTCAAGAAGCCAGCTTGGGAAGTGCTCTGACTGGAGCCAATTTTGCTTCAGGTGCCTCTGGCATGCTTGATGGAACAGCCCACCTATATGTAAACTTCTCAACTCTATACAAATTCTAATTAGATGATGTAAAAGAGTTAAAAGCTTGACACTTCTTTCTCTTATTGTGGCTGGGTCTGTAGGGAGCAGTTTCATTGACAAGGCAGCTGGAGAACTACAAGGAATACAGAGCAAGAGTCGAGAGTCAGGTGGGGTTCGAGAAAGCCACTGACACATTCTCTAAAGGGATTCATCTTTTGAGCACAGGAACCAGTGATTTCATTCAGAACTACTATGTCGACCCTATTCTCAACACCCTCTACACACCTGATCAGTGGTCTGACAAGCTCATGAAATCTTATGCTACCTTCATTCAGGTGTCTTTTCAAGATTCAATTTAAATTTTGTTGCTTACTACGAAAACCTAGGTGATCTGGTTTGTACTAAAGAGAAAAGTGGTAATGTGAACAGAACCTATACGGGCTTGGAGCAAGGAGGATTGGAGTGACAACTCTGCCACCAACAGGGTGTTTGCCTGCAGCTATCACCCTCTTTGGCCACGGAAGCAACAATTGCGTTGAGAGGCTGAACTGGGATGCTAGCTCCTTCAACCAAAAGCTGAACACAACTTCTCAGAGCATTGCACAAGGACTCCCGGGGCTTAAACTTGTTGTCTTCGATATCTACAATCCTCTCTTGAACTTGATCAACAAACCTAGCGACAACGGTAATACGAAAAATCAGTCGATGTCAAAATATCTGCTGTTTACATACAGAATAACCGACTCACTCACAATATCTATGGCAGGGTTCTTCGAGGCAAGGAAGGCTTGCTGCGGGACGGGTGTCCTAGAGACTTCATTTCTCTGTAATTCAATGTCATTGGGTACATGTTCTAACGCTACAGAGTACGTGTTCTGGGATGGATTCCACCCTTCTGAAGCAGCTAATACGATCCTAGCTCAATCCCTGCTTTCACAAGGATTGTCCCTCATATCGTAGATTCCATAGTTCCATCAGTGCTACAAGCACAAGCTTGATAAGTCAAATAAGCAATTCTTTATTCCTTGGGTCAATAATGTATGCACCATCAACAGCTAAATTTATCAAATTCAATAGAGTATCCTATAAGTCTCAATTTGCTGCAGTACTTTCTTCCCCCTTTTGGAGGTCATGCTATCGTTCAACAAGTCAGCTTCCCCTACAGTATCAGAGCTAGCACAGTCAAGGAAGATATTACTCAATAGAAAGTTCTTTGGTGAAACCATGGAGAATTCTGCAATTTAAGCTCCAAGGTTCTACTATTAAATCCAGAACATAAACTTACATGATCACTGCTTCTAAGGAATTTATTCTATATATACAGCTCCAATGCCAAACAGTCACTACCCGGACCTACTTATCCAGCATGACAATTCAACATTTGGAAAACACTATCCTACTGTAGGTTACAACAAAAAGAAAACGTTTTGAATGTCTCACATAGCAACTTACGAAGACGATCACCACTCTACCATCTTCTTAATGCATCAGAAGCTGGAACTTGTCGTCGTCAGTTACAACAACGAAATCGTATCCAAGATCATTGGCGCGGAGGTAGAACTCGTCCATCTCCCTATGCTGGACTTGGATTCCCACCAGCACGTTAGCGCCAGTCTCTCCCTGTCGATTTGGAAAATTCCATATACAGCAGACTGAATAGAGTAACATCAATCTAAGAAAAAAAAGGAAAGGTCTTTAAGGACAAACAAACCTGGCCTCTGTAATGGAACAAGGTAATGTTCCATCGGGGACTGAATGCATCAAGAAACTTCATCAGAGCTCCAGGTCTTTCTGGGAAGACGAATCGACAGAGAAGCTCGTCTCGGACAGATGATCTGCCACCCATCTGTAAAGGACAAAGCAAAACCTCAGCTGTGAAACCAAAGAAGAATAGACTTCTGATGTCAGGTAACAAGTTTGCCACATGTGAATAAGAGGGAAACAAGATCAACTAATAGAAGCCTTATATACGAGAATAAATTACCAAATAACGCAAGTGGTCTTTAACCAAATCGCTTTCTGTCAGATTGTAAGTTTTTAGCTGAGCAGATTCCATCCGCTGCTTCATCGCTTCAAGTTCAGATACCATATGGAGGCCAACACTGCATACGATATCATCGAAAAAATGAAGGGTCACTCTATCATCACCATTTCAAAATGATATAGCATAATATATTGCATACTTGTGGTACAGGGTATTCCCAGAAAAAGGGTAAAAAAAATCCTCTTGAGATTTACAGTTTGACCATTGATAACGCAGACTTCCAAATACACCGACATTTTCACAAATTCAATTCACGGACCTGTACAGGACAACAGCTTCCTTCTCAGAACTACTCCTATACTTGAACTCCGTTATATTGATAGGACCCACCTGTCACACCAAAAGTGAGAATCAGACGCCTAAATGTCTATACAGGAACACTGCAAATCCGAAATTATATGTTAACGAACCAGTTCACAGAAATCTTTGAAACTCCCAGGTTCCTCTGGCAAGACTGTTGCAAGCACAGCTTCCTTTTTTCGGCCAACATTGGCAAGCTCAGTCACCACTCTCAGTTTATCAAAGTTCATGTTCGCCCCACTGGTTATTGCCACAATGTCTCCTCCCTTTATGCCATAGTATTTGCAGTACGCTTCAGCACCAGCGAGCGCTAGAGCACCGGCTGGCTCTAAAATGCTCCTTTTCTCTTCAAACATGTCCTGGCGAAAGTAGTGTTGATGTTATTAAACATTCACTGGGAACTTTAGAAACAAGAAAGCAAGAAAGCTTACCTTAATCGAAGCACAGATAGCATCGCGGCTTACTAGAACCACGCCATCTATCAACTCCTTGCATAGCCGAAAAGTTTCTTCCCCAACCTCTTTAACAGCCACACCATCTGCAAACCCACCAACCTGGTCCAACATCACTCTCTCATTGTGATGCAGCGACAAAGCCATAGCATTTGCATCAGCTGGTTCTACTCCAATGATCTTCACCTGCATTTTGAGTGATCGGAATGGTTGGCTTTTACCCCAAGTAAACCCCTGCCAAACCAGAAGTTCCAATGGAAACATGGCAACTTACATCAGGATTAACTCTTTTAACATATGCAGCAATGCCAGCTATCAATCCACCACCACCAACAGGCACAAAGATGGCACGCAATGGGCCTTGCATCTGGCGCACAATCTCCATTCCGATAGTTCCTTGTCCCATAATCACATCCGGGTGGTCAAAAGGAGGTACAAAGGTCAACCCTTCCTGTTGCCCTCTCTGCTTAGCATATATTTGTGCCTCATCATAAGAGTCTCCCACCAAAACAACTGTAGCACCCAATCTCTCAACTGATTGCCACTGCAGAGAAAATTTGCTGACAATTATAATCACGAGTGATTGCAAAAAAAAGCAGTATAAGTATACTGACAATCAAATTCCCACCTTGATGTCAGGGGTAGTTACAGGCATGGCAATTATAGCATTGCAACCAAGTCTTTTTGCAGCTAGTGCTACTCCTTGGGCATGGTTTCCAGCTGATGAGCAGATCACTCCTCTTTCTAACTGCTCCTTTGTAAGTTTTGCCATCATGTTGTACGCACCACGCAGCTTGAATGAAAACACCTGCATTCCAACGATGAAATTGAAATGAAACCAAACCTCTGAAGCTCGGACATGAACAAGCGAAGTAAAACTCCCATCCCCCAATTTGAGAAGTGAAAGAGAAATCTAGTACTACCACTATCAGAAAAATCAACCGAGCTCCAAAATGTCCGTTCCTGATAAAGATTAAGCATAATGGAGAGTGAATCGAGCGAGAAGAGCTTGGTTTTTGACAATTCCTTACCGGCTGCAAATCTTCCCGCTTGAGCCAGACCTTGACGCCCAGCTTCTCCGAGAGCTTAGGCCCGAACTGCAATGGAGACTCAATCGCCACGTCGTACACCTTCGACGAGAGTATATTGGTCAAATACCCCATCGCCCCGATGACATCGTCGCCGCCACCACCTCCTCCGCTCCGGTCGGGCACCGCCCCGAGGTAACCGGGTGGGTACTGCAGCGAACTCGGAGATACCTTCCTCCTCGGCGGAGCAGCAGACACCTTCACCGCCTCCGCCAACGAATTGTCGCGAGAGCCGACGGCGGGCATCGGCAATGGGGAGATCTCGGCGGCAGGTCTCGACAGGGAGGCGGAGACATTGAGCGGCTTGGACGACGCTCTTCTTGCTCCTCCTCCAGCCAGCGCCCTGGGAGCGCGGAACTCGGCGGCTCCCTGCAGCCTGAGTAGCGGCGGTTGCGGCGGCGCGACGCGGAGAGCCTCCATTTTCGTCCGGGGGGAATTGGGAGCAAGTGGTGACAGAGAGAGGCGGCGTTTTGTGGCGTAATTTGATTTTTTGCTCATATAAATTCTTTTTGGAGGGAGGAAGAAGAACAGAGGGGTTTCTTATAGAGAGGAAGTTTTTGTGGGGTTTTTGTCATTTCTGTTACTTGGCGCATTTTTTAGTAACTTTGTGTGGACCAATCGGATAGAGACGCGTGGTAGTTCTGGAAGTATGAGAAGGCGGGCGCTTGTGCGGGTTCCGGGTAACGGGCCAACGGCTCAGTGAGTTTCATCTTTTTTTTTTTTTGTTATAAATATTGACGATGACGAGAACTGAGTTCAGTCCATGGGTTTGGACTTTCTCATGGGCTTTCTTGCAGTTTTCTCAGCAAGTTGTGGGCCAATATAGCTCCGGACCAATTATGTTAATTTTATCTTTTCCCTTTTTATTGAAAAATGGCTCAATGAACATATTTAGCTCACAAATGGTTAGAATTTAAATGTGAATGGAATTTGGGGAAAAAATCCCAAAATTGTTCTCCATTAAAAGGATATTATTGTACTTGTGATTTTCGGGTTCAAAACTCATGAAAATGTCAAAGTTAGTGCACATTTAAGCATTATGAGAGTACACATATTAATTATAGTTCACTTCTTAATAATTGTATAGTTTTCAGGCGACATTCATCACAAAAATCCTAATAATACCCATTAAATAGAATATCATTACAGTCTATTACTCTTGACATGAATTTCCACGTCCAGGTCAGTCAAGATCAATTACAATATGGAAGTAATTATCCTCTCCTCTCGTTTTCTCTCTTGTCGACCGTAGGAAATATACTCTAGTGCATGATACAAAATTGGATCTTTCGACTGAAGTATAAATAATTTGAAAGACATCCCAATCTTAAAAAATTATGAGCGTCAACTTAAGACACTCTAAACTTTTAGTCTTATACTATGTGTATTCACATAAAGTTGATAAACTTAGCAATAATGGAGATTACAACCATTTTTTCCACTAAGAAATAAGTCTTGTTTGTTTTAACCATTTTGGTAGGTAGGTGAACTCTATCATGAAGCTTCCACCTACATTCAAACTCCCAAAGAGATTAGATTATCAATCACAATAAACCATGAGCAAACGAGTGTTTATTGTGACAGATTTTGTCACATGTGCATTTAATTCAATATAAGAAGGACCCCAAAAAGATTCCTTGTTACGTGGTCACGAGCTCACGGCCAATATATTTGAGTAGGGACTTTAGCTTGACTCATAGTGGCGCTAATAAAAAACGACGGTGCTCAAAGCTAATAAAAAAAAAAACTACAAGATTTTAGGTGCAATTTCGAAGAATTGATAAACAACGACCAACCAAACAGATCCTTGTCCTATACTGCGATTTCTAGTGATACTACTGATGTTAATATCAGGAAGGGTATAGATATTTTGCATGTTGATAGTTGATACACACAAAGAGCATATGCTTTGTTTCTAATTGTGTATCTTAAAGACTATTTAGCTTAATTTATTTGACTTCATTATCAATTCGCAACGTGTAACCTCTGATGTAAACCAAATGGCAATTTCTTCTTCACCAAGTAGTCACACAACTGGGAGGGTTGGAGATGATCGGAGTCATTCGTTGGTGAACTGTTTTACATTTGATAAAGAATAAGTTAATCTTGAAACGTGACAGGTGTAATGGTGAGTTTGTTAACCTTTTAGTTTTGGAAGTTGATTCGTTTGAAATTGCAAGTTATTTGAGTATAGAATATACTTCCACCAAAAAACATCCATAAGGTACTTTTTTTTTTCTCTCCTCATAATAAGAGAAGATTTCACTCTTTTTTTTCGTCATTACATCTCTTCTGAAAACAAAATACAAATGATCAATTCAATTCGAAAAAATAATGTATATATTATACAACTATGATACAAAGTCGAACCTCTGAAACATATGATGTGACAAGAATAGAGATTTACGAGCCACCAAATGAGCCACCCTATTACCATCTTTACCAACAAACTTCAACATATTCTCCTTACTCGAATCCAAAAGAAGGCCGCTCTCACGAAGAGTAACTCCAATCCTTGCATCCATCAAATGTCGAACTTTACACTTGTCAATAATAACCTTATCGTTCTCACGAAACGAAACGTCGTGCAAGCCACGATCGATCACACTCTAGAAGACAATCACACAACATCCGACTCTCCAGAAGCCAAGTTACTCCTTCATAACGTTTAGCTCCTGAAATTATGGTACCACCAGGAGAATCCTGGATTAGGATCCCAGCAGAAACATCACATGGTTGATGTTGTAGCGGTTGCACCATCGAAGAAAGCTCGCACTTGATTCGGTTGCACGCCCATCTCCAACACAAATGGTATTTGCTGCCTGTGATTGAGAGTCTGGCCTTCCAGAATTTATGCTAGGTTCTTGTAGTGGGCTGGAAGCCCAGACTCTGGAAGCCCACTTTCATAATCCGCGGGCCTCGGCCCAGACTTCAGCTCACCACTGCGCGGGAAAAGTACCTACCCAGCGACGCGGCGGGAATAATTCAGTCAAAAAGCAACGATCGACCACAAAGAAGAAGAAGAAGAAAGAAGCCACCGATAACAAAAAAATGAAAATCTCCCTTCAAAGAAAGGAAAGCAAGGAATCTCTCGCCCAAAGGCCAAAACCCAACATTATATTAGCTTCAATTCACAGCAGAAGGAAAACCATAATGCGCCCCCACGAAGTCCAAAACCTCATCGGAATTCCTTCATTAGTTACTTCACACGTGCGATTACCCAAAATTCCGGCCGCCGTCGATGAAGCCAGTGTACCTCCAGGCCGGAATCCCTCTCGCCATCTCCGTTGCCGGTTTCGCCATCGCCCGAATCATTACCTGGGGGAATGGTTCACCCGAATCCGAAACCCAACTCGATGGTGATTCAGAAAGTGATGATGACCAGACAATGTTTCAGGAATTGAAGGAAAAAGTCGAGGAGCTGCAGAGCAGGGAAGTGGAACTGGAGCTTCGATTCCTGCGGTACCGAATCGCGAAAGAGCAGGAAATGGAGCTGATGGAGGCGAGGAGCGAGCTGGAGATCGAGTCGACCCGGGCGGAGTTCATTGCGGGGGAGGTTAAGTTTCTGGAAGCAGAGAAGCAGAGATTCGAGGGTTTGCTGGAGGCGTGTTGGAAGATCGTGCAGCGGCTGGAATTGGCGAATTTGGGGAATGAGTTGCTGGAGAGGAAAGTTGGAGCCATGGAAGATGAGGTTTCGAGGTGCTTGGAAGAGAAAGAGAAAGGGAATTGGTTGATGGAGAAATTGGAAGAAGAAATTGTGGATTTAGGGAGGGTTGTGGATCGATTGAAGGAGGAGAAGGATGAACTGCTTCTGAAGCTGCAAAACTCTGCTTCTACGTCGAAGCCAAAGGTCGAAACTTTGCAGAATGGGGATGGAGAGTTCATATCCATGGAAGACTACAATCGGTTAGTAAACGAGCTGGACCAAGCAAGAAGAGAACATGTGGTGGAAGTTACAGAGGTGACATACTTGAGGTGGACTAATGCCTGCCTCAGGCACCAACTGATGAGAAGTTATCAACAGCAGCAAGAGAATGGAAGAGAACACAGTAATGGCCGTGAGAGTGAAGGAGGAATCATGGCAACCAGCAGCGTTGATCATCATCATCATCATCAGCCTGGTTCCAGGAGGAAGAAGTTGCTTAACAAGCTGAAGAAATGGGTGGAAGGGAGTGAGAATAAGCACGAGGGGAAATGCATTGGATGGGTACCAGAAGGCCATGATGATGATGATGAAGAAGAAGAAATGGTTCCACATAGAAGATCTTGTTCTAGTTTCTGAAAAATAATTGTTACGAAATTGGATAGTCACATGTTTAACGTAGATGTCTAAAATAGTTAACATAAACGTCTAAATATGTTAACGAAATTATGAAAACAATCCACGGTCCTACTTGGAGTTAGATAATTAGATTGTGATATGGGATGAAAATGGTTTATGTGGACGACATTGACCATCTTATCCTCTATCTTCTCCCACGTTGAAATGTGTCACAACAGTTTGACCACCAACTGAAATACAAATCTTTTCAATTTGCTCCATTCTTCCTGATTACCGTTAAACCCAACAGAAATTATGGAAGTCTCTCCCTTCCCCTGCTGCTTCCAGCACAGTTCAATCTTCCCTCGAAAGCCGCTAGCTTCATTTTCAACTGGTATAAATCTTCTCCTCATGCAACTTGGGTTCATCTTAAAGTTGAGAACTTTTGTGCTGAAGTTTGCCCAGGGAAGAGCCAATTCATCGCAAAAAGAAACTCAGCCCTTTTCCCATGTCGCTGTTCTTTGCCTTCTTCGGAGAAACCTCAGCAGCAGAATGAGGGAAGGAGGGCGCTTTTTGGCTATCTTCTTGCATCAACCGGTTAGTTTCTATATGTGGGAAGTACTGGGATTAATGGGTTCTTGTTATCTTATAAGAGCTTTTGATGATCCAAAACATTCTACCATCCAAACCCTAGTTGAGTTTTACCATTGAGTTGGGCTCGATCTCTGCAAACTTCAAGCAGAAAAATCATGCATTCCTGTAGTGGTCAAAATCTGAATCTTTTGTGTGCCCAGCTGCAGGAATTGCTGCATGTGATGCTGCTGAGGCTGTTAGTACCAGCAGAAGAGCTGTGAGTTCCTTTTTATCTTCTCATGATTCACCTGTAAAAAAGGGTTAACATCTTTTCTGAGAAATGATAAAACTGTTCTCATTTTCTGGTGTTGGTGCAGCTTAGAGGAGCAAAAGTACCAGAGGATGAATTCAAAACCCTTCCTAATGGTCTGAAGTCAGTACACCTAGGAAATTCTCACTCCTGTCTATGAGCAAGTGACCTTTGCAAATTAGTCACTTGCATGACGTTTCATCCATAATTCTGATGGAAGACTGGCTTCTTTCAGGTACTATGATCTGAAGGTTGGTGGAGGTCCAGAGGCTGTAAAGGGATCTCGGGTTGCAGTACGGTTTGTGCCTTTGATTGCTTGTCTTCAGCTGATGCACAACTTTTCCTAGAAAGTGCTGAACTTTAGATTCATGGAGCAGATTGTTCTTCAAATTCTAGGTTCACTATGTTGCCAAATGGAAAGGAATCACATTCATGACCAGTAGACAAGGAATGGGTGTTGGTGGAGGAACGGTGAGATTCGTTTTAAGTCTTTGGATCATTTCTCTTTGCTAGATACCTGATATTCGTTCGATTTGGTGTTGCTTGAAGCCTTATGGATTTGATGTTGGCGAATCCGAGAGAGGAAATGTTCTCAAAGGGATAGACCTCGGTGTTGTAGGAATGCGCGTTGGAGGCCAGGTGAGGGAGAGATAGCATTTATCCCTGCATAATGACATTTCTGATTCTGTGTTTGATGATCTCTTTTAGTTCATTAGTGTCTGTTGTTTGCTTTAAAATCCTCAAAAAGCTGAAATCTTCAACATAAAAACTGTTTCCCGGCTTCCATGGATCTATGTTTCCTCACTCTATCCTGTATAATCTTGCCAATGGCTATTAAGAGGTTGTGGAATTGCTTGTATCTTAAGTAAACCATCGTTAATGCAGCGTCTGCTGATAGTTCCTCCGGAGCTGGCATATGGAAAGAAAGGAGTTCAGGAAATTCCTCCAAATGCAACCATAGAGGTACAAGGTTTAAAATCCCATTTCACTAAGAATGCTCAAAGCATTAGAACTTACTAATCTACCCTTGGAATTGCAGATGGATGTTGAACTTCTTTCCATCAAACAAAGTCCATTTGGGTAAGTTGTAGTCTTTTAGAAGTTAACTTGTCTCACTAAATCTGAAAGGCCTCCATAGTATGCATTAACAAACACTACTCAAAATTTTCAAACTGGCAGGTCCCCTGTGAAAATTGTTGAAGGATAATGATATCAACTCCACGGTTGGAAGCCCGTTAATACAGGCCAGTGCTTCAGTTTCAAGAAGTTGAATACCCCCACCTATCTGATATACTGAAATCACTTGTTCTTACTCCTTTCCCAAACATCACTTGGTTAATCCATCTTTTACACGTTGCCAACTTCTTGTGAGCAGCTAAGAGTGCTGATTAGCCACTGTTTAGTTTGTTCGCCCATTTCTGAAAATTCATTCAAATCTACTCCTTTTATCAAACTCACTTTGCTGCCTGTAGAAGTGGAACTGTTAAGATTATGCTGTGGCCTGTGAAGAAACAACATGTTTGTAATTGAATGGCTTGATGTTCTATTGATTTTGATCCTGAGCCGCAAGAATACTGATCAAGCAGGAAAACCTTTTCTTGGTGCAGAAGAAAGGGCCAGTGTCCTTCCTCTCTACAGACCATACAGTAGGAATCCAGCAGGTCGAGTAAAATGCCAAAACACTGTTCAACTTTTCCCCTCCACAATCAGATTCTTTTATCCCTTTTCTCCAAAACAATCATTTCTCTCCCACTTTATTCCTTTCCCCTCCACCCTTTATTTACCCCTTCAATCCACCTAAACCCCTTGAACAAGCAAAAATGACAACATTTCCAACACATACAGTTCTCTTCTGTTGCATTCATTTCCTTATTCACTTCTCACTTCACACTCACTCCCAGAAGCTCTGCCCAAACTGTGGTCCCATCCAAGTCCCCTACCCTCTGAGCACTAACCCCAACTGCGGCGACCCAAGGTACACCCTACGTTGCGACTCGAGCTCTCATGCGCTCTACCTCGATGCCTTGAACAGTAGCTCATACCTTGTGCTCCGAATCATAGCATCCACCCAGCGGTTGGTGGTGCAGCCATCGCCATTTGTGGTCGATGGGCAGAAGAAGGACGAGTGCATCACTCGGGACATGCTTGTCAGTGAAGGTTTAAGGCTGAACCAGACGCTGCCATTTAATGTCACTTCATCAAACACTGTGTTCTTGTTCAATTGTTCTCCAAGGCTGCTCAACTCTCCCTTGAACTGCACTCCTGCCAGCCTATGCCACGCATACCTCGAGAGGTCTAGACACGTGGACGGGCAGAGAGCCGTTCGTTGTGCCAATGTTCTGGACCCTTGCTGCACTTTTGTGGCAGGAGGGATGCCCTCAGCTTACAGGTAAGAATAAGCATGTGATCTTAGAACCGTATAAAATGTAACATTATGGGAGCTGACTCGAGATTTGGAATACCAGGATCCGCCTTCATAGTTCAGGTTGCAAAGCGTTTCGAAGCATCATTCATCTGAATCCTGACACCCCTCCTTCTCAATGGGAAGAAGGGTTGGAGATTCAATGGGCTCCACCACCCGAGCCACCTTGCAAAACACAAAAGGACTGCTACGGAGCTTCCAAATGCTCACCACCATCAACCAAAGATGAACCCTCTCGCTGCCTCTGCAACAAAGGCCACCAGTGGGATAGTATCCATGGGACTTGCACGAAGAAGGTGAACCGTAGGGTTGCCTTCATGTTAAAGCTCTCACTCGGCATGATCCCTTTCATCTCCATTGCTCTAATCACAGCTGCAGCTCTCTTCTACAAGTCGAAGATGCAACGAGCCAGGCTTGCAAGGGCAAGGCAAGACATGTTCATAAGGTCAAGCAATGGTGGTGCTGGTGGGAAGACAGCCAGGATGTTCCAGCTGAAAGAGCTGAAGAAGGCAACCAACAACTTCTCCCCAGACAATTTCTTAGGAAGTGGAGGGTTTGGAGAAGTCTACAAAGGGGAGCTCCCAAATGGAACCGTTGTGGCTGTGAAATCAGCCAAAGTTGGCAACATCAAGAGCACCCAACAAGTCCTCAACGAGGTAGGAATCCTGTCCCAAGTCAACCACAGGAACCTCGTACGCCTCCTTGGCTGCTGTGTCGAATCGGAGCAGCCATTGATGGTCTACGAATACATCTCGAACGGGACACTCCATGACCATCTCCAAGGCAATGAGGTATGTTCTTTTTATAACATGGATCACAAAATCTCACTATCTTTAAGTTCACCACTATTTTTGTGTTACACGTTAAATCTCGATCACTGCGTTGCAGGGAAGGTTCAAATCCGCGACCTTCCTGGATTGGACAACCAGGCTGAGAATTGCTCTTCAAACTGCTGAAGCTTTGGCATACTTACACTCCGATACTCACAGTCCGATCTACCACAGGGATGTGAAGTCCACAAACATACTTCTGGACGACGATTTCAATGCCAAAGTCTCCGACTTCGGACTCTCCAGGCTGGCAAGGCCAGGGCTGAGCCACGTGTCGACTTGCGCGCAGGGCACTCTGGGTTACTTGGATCCGGAGTACTACAGAAACTACCAGCTGAACGACAAGAGCGATGTCTACAGCTTCGGAGTCGTGCTGCTCGAGCTTCTGACTTCTCAGAAGGCCATCGACTTCTCCAGAGACCAGGATGACGTGAACTTGGCGATCTATGTGATCCACCACAGTGGAAATGATGCACTGAACATGGAGGTTGTGGATCAACGGCTCTTTGGAAGCAGAGGATTGAACGACGTGGTATCATCCATGAAAGGAAGTATGGTGCTCTTCTTGAAGCTGGCTTTTGCTTGTGTACAAGAGAAGAAAGTTGACAGGCCTAGCATGAAGGAGGTTGTTCAGGAGCTGGAGAGGATTGTTGGAATGCTTGACGAGGGAAAAGGGTTGTCGCCATGATGTTGGAATTGAGCGTTGAAAGAGAGAAAGATCCATTAATGGGGCCTTGAATATTTCCCATTAGCTCCTAATTCCTAAAGTAATTAGGAAGGTAGGGAAATGTTCCCATAAGATAGCAAAAAGAATGCAAGATTAGAGTCTAGATAACATATGGTTGGGATCAAGTGCTGAGTCCCTTGGTAGAGTTGTTTTCATCCTAGTTGAAACAAATATCATGTAATAATTTGAAGTGTTTATGACCAATTGTGATATGGTTGCATATATTGAGAGATTCAACAAAAGAGAATAAATCAATTTCTATATTAGTGAAAGAATATGTAAAGTTATAACATTTCTAGGTATAAATAACATTATTTTTCAGTGATTTTATTATTAAGATTTCAATATCTTGATATATCGAAGAATAAAGATATGAGTATAACTTGAAATAAATCGAGATCATCATCGTCCAAATCAAGTATATCTCCGCACTTCCTCTATGCTTTTGGGAATGGTGGCCAAAGAAGGAAATGTCACCATCCTTTCAATGGGTGAGCCACCATGCATATACCCCCACAAGATGATTCCATGGGAGTGAGTGGGTGGAAACTGGAAAGGGTGGAGAAAGGAGCAAAGACATTGGAAGGATTAGATGCTCCCTATCTTCCAATGATTTTCTATGTTGATAGATGGTATATTTGGTAAGTGATCCACAATGAGATTGTAGGGTAGTAGGAATTCCCTAGGATATGTGAAAGTAACACTTAATTTCGAGCCAATTGGTTGAATTATCAATGTAAGGAAATATACGATTTATTAGTAAAATGTTTTGAATGACATTAGACAAAAGCAAAGTGATTCTTATACAACAAAGACAATAATGATTGTACGTTGAAAATTTCATCTAGATTTTATTTCAGTTCAATCGCTCTTTTTTATTTTCCTTGTTCAACAAATTCTACTGTGAATTTTAGTACTCCAAAACATGTCCATCTAATCTAATCCAACGTCCATTCTACTTCTAATTACTTCTTTCAAACCATTCGATGGATTTACGTTGCTACATATTTGAAGAACTTTTTTGGATATTGAATTTACGGATATTGAATTTAAAGATATGGGTATAACTCAAGGTTGTCAACCCGCGGGTTGACCCGGACCCGGTCGAGCTAGTGGGTCACGGGTTAATGGGTCAACCGTTTTAGCCCGGTTTGGCCCGGAAATATAGAAAGAGTAATTATATTGTACTTATCCTCATAAATTATATCAAATCTTATCTAACATATGAGTTATAACATATAATATTACACCAAAATAACATATCGTACTTAGATCCAACATATAGTGAAAATTCACACACACTTATATAACATAAATATTCAAATGTTCAACTTAGTATTCCAAAGATTGAGTTAGGCGAAAAGAAAAAATGGAAAATAGACACATTTCGCAAACTAAAGAAAAAAATGACACAATTTGACCTCCAACCTGGTACCTTATAGCGGTCGGCCCGGCGGGTGCGTGCGGCCCGTTTTTCTCACCGGGTCAGGGTCAAATTGGGTCGACCCGTGGGTCAACCCGCGGGTTGACAACCTTGGTATAACTCGAATTATATAAAATGAATTGCTTTTCTTCCATTCTGCTTCTTGCCACTACCGTAAATTGATGAATCCAAGCATTTTCTACAAAGGTCCACGAATATGGAAACAAAGACTTTACAAACCCATGTTTCCTGGATTTCATTCCCCATTTCCTGTGCTGCCAAACATTGGATTTTGTGAAACCATGAAAATGAGTACCAAATCAGCACCCAAAACCCAACTATCAAACAACCCGTAATAGTTACTTTCGAAATACTCAATGCTAAGTTTGCAGGCTAAAACTTAATGGTTCAATCCAAAAGTTACATAGATTCACAAAATTACATGAAAGATGATACCATACACTGATACACAAACAAGTCCGTAAGATCCTAAGTAGTCTCTACTCTAAAAACAAAAACAAAATCTGCCAACTCTGCTCTAATGGCAGAAGGAAATATAAAGTTCCCGATAAGGCTGCTCGTAAATCATCGGCGGTAGCGATGACGTTTGAAGTTGAAGTAGACATGCAATATCCCACGCTCAAACGTGCATTTGAATCCCTTCTTGTGAGAGTATTCCCACTCCTTGTTCACAATCCGAAAAGCCTGCATAAAGAATCAAGTGATAAGATCAGTATGCAATCAAATTAGTCTATCACAAACTCGGGATTACAAGTATGGGTATGAACACCCCTCTACTTACAATGTCCTCGTAAGGTGGTCCAGCATGGAACCGGATGATGCAGGTCTCGTCGCTGCTCCCGTCCCTCTCAATCGTGTATATTGGAGCCTTGATCTTGTCGACGAGGTCAGGGTAGAAGATGTTGAACTTGTAACCCTGAACTATTTTCGGAGGCGGGTTGTCGTGGTCATAGTGGGTCTGGTTGTACTTGTTCCACTCATAACCGGTGTGCACTCTGTTGAAGTACTTAGGCTTCCTGGGCCGGTACTTGTCGTGCCACCAATACACCTGCGAGTCCAGGCTCACTTCCGCACCAGATCCGAACACTGCATCACCTTCCTCCATCGTTCCCATGGCTTTGAACGCTTTCATCTCGAATTGGGTCTCCTCCGGAGGTGGAGGCAGAGGCGGTTTCGATGATTTCATCGCTTCTTGGATCCGTCTCTGCTGCTCCTCCAGCACAGCCATCCGCTTCTTTTCCTGTAAACACGAAAATTGAAATCAGCTCGTGGTTAGAGCGTGATTAATGATTATACATCGTACTATGATGAGAATGGCAATATACCAATATAGCCTTGTCCTCTTCAGGGTCCACTGCTTCATCATCATCATCATTGCCATGTAAGAGCTCTGGAGAGAATGATCCAGCCTCTTCCTCTTCTGGCTCTTGAGTTTCCTCCACAGGCTCCTGGGGAAAGGGCTCAAGATCTTCTACAAGATAGTCAAATATGATAAGATGAGTTTCAATGTAGAGGTATATCTACCAACTTAAACCAATCTACACAACCTCAAATCTATTGGACTCAAATCCATTGGTTGGTGGGTAAGTGGGATGGGGTTGATAGATTTCAGCAAAATTATCATTTAGCACCTAGACCGAGTCTCTTATTCTATAATCTAAATTTTCATGTACAAAAAAAAATCACCAAAATTGCAATTTAGCAACTAAAACAACTGCCAGAGGTAGATATATACACAATGAAACAGGATAAGAGCACAAACCTTTCTCCTCAGGCTCACTTTCCTCCTTAATCGGCCTTAAATCATGGTCGCTTTCTGACTTGTAGTCAATTTCTGAAGTTGGTTCAAGACGGTTCAAATGGGTTCGCAACATCTTAGCATGGATCTCCTTCAGAATGGCCTGTTTCAGCAAAATATGTCAGGCAACATGATATGATTCGGCCAAAACTAGGAACATGAACCGAATTTGAGATTCAGTATACCTTTGCCTTGTAAATCTGGAGTCGCTTCAGGACAGCCTGCCAATACTCGACGACCCTTGCTTCTCCAGAACTCAACAACAGCTCGATCTTGGATTTGGCTGCATCCAGCTCGCTGGAGGTCTTACCTTCCAAAAGATCTCTCACATCTGATTCAATGCCACGATGCATACCTCTTTCTTCTGCAAGCAACTCTGCGGGAGGTTCTTCACCACGTACTCTAGCTCGATCAAGAGCATCTTTTTTCCTAGCTTCAGCTAGTTCCCAGTTACAAACCACCAAGAGGGCCTGGAAATACCACACACGTTAAACTTCAAAGGCTAACCGCTGAATACTAAGACGACCTTTCATGTGAACTATCATAAGAAGAACAAGGCAGTCTACTTCATCACCTCATGGCATAAAAAGTTGAATGACTAGCAGTAAATGACGATCAAGCTATGGTTTTAAGCCATGCAATGTGATCTGTTACTTGAACAACGAGCTATTCTAGGAGCCAAGCAGTAAGGAAATGCATAGTACCTCCCAATAATCCACTTGTGTTTGTGTTGTTCGTTCCATATCCAAGTGCATCTTGATGTCATCATGAAGTTCCTCCATTTCTTTAACTGTCAAACCCTACATCAAGAATGCCAAGATCAATGTCTAGTGAAATTGCACAAGTGAAGCCAAAATATTGACTGATGCAAAGTGCAGATATCTGGAGGACAAGAGAATGCTATATGTTTACCTTAAAAACCATATATGGTTCATTTATTTCGATGTCCAGATCATCTGAGACATTCAAGTGCTTTGCCAAAACATCAATTGGTTTAACTCGCCCTTCACGAACCCTGATCTCAGACCTGACTTTGCTTTGCTCAAAATGGAACTGCAGGGAAGCAATATTAAAGCTCGTCAAACAACAGAAAACAGCATGCTGACAGTGAGTAACAAAATCAAGAGAACCTATCCAACAACTCACCTCATCCTCCTTTTTCTCCCAGTCTTGGAATTCAGCCCTTGCACGTTCTCTTGCCAACAATGCCTGCAGGTCAGAACAAGACATCAGCAACCACAACCAAAGTACATGCCAGTGGCTAGAAACTTTATAACACAGAGAAAATTCGAAGTTATTAAGATGGATCTTGCTCTCTCAGACAGCACAGGGCGTACCATTTCTTCCTCGTGTTGTGCTTTCTCGAGTGCCCTCTCCTCCCTTCTCTTTTTCACTTTCTCTATCTCCGCCTACAAGATGAGGATAAACCACATCAACCAATGTCGATCAAGTACGGAACAGCTGCATGAATTCAGGTACGAAAGAATAGTAGCATTGATCTTCAAATGGACCGTACTGTGAATCAAGTTGCTAAGGAAGGATTTGACAAAAATGAGCCAATCGTGTTCAGGTCGAATCAAAGCAGTATTAACACTAACCATCATTGATCCTCCAAATGGACTATACTATCAATCAAACCACTACCGAAACAATTAATTCAAATGACTCCCTAATTGCATTCAAGTCAAAATCTAAGCAAAATCATCAGTAAACAGCACTAATCCTTCTAAATGTACACTGCCAGTCAAGTCGCTATTTACAGATCCAGCTTAAACAAGTCCCAATTGCATTCGGGTCAAAACAAAAGCTAGAATGAACACTACGCATCTAAACATTTTCTATTAGCATTACTTGCATGAACAGGAGAGGGAAAAAAAAACTTAAGTGTCAGGCTGCAAGGGTCCAATACGACTCAAGAATCTTGTATTCAGACCAGCCATAGTACTGCCAGTCACTTGCAAGTTCAATCTACTAAGTGCATGGTAACTGAAAAATCATATCGGGTGCATACCATTCTTTCCTTTTGCCTCTTTTTCTCTGCTTTCATCGAAAAATCATCTAATGGCACGCCTTGGCCAACATCACGCTCAATCTTCTTCCTCCATACAAATCTGAAAATAACATTCACAGAAACATTAAGAATTGGGAACTAAAATGCAGTCCCCAGAACACAACCCATCCAAAATAAAACCAAGGAACCAGAGAAGAACCTTACTTTTCATTCAAATTCGAATCACCGAAAGGATTGGAGTCATTCGAATAGCCAGAGACGGACTGCGCCTTCATTTTCTTGGCAACTTTCATAGCCTAGTCGAGAAAACCAACGAACAGGGCGTAAATCATCGATAAGCTAAGAATAACAAAGCAGAAAACAGTGAAAAATGTTCATACAAACGAATAAATACCTTCCTCTGAGCTTTCTTCGCCAAGTACTCGGCAATTTCTTGTTCAGAAACTTTTCTCGACGATTTCTTCCTCTTGCCTCTATGATCGTCGCTATCGCTGTCGGAGTCACTAGAGCTGCGGTCCTTGCGAGTACTCCCACGACGGCTTCTGCTCCGGCCATGGGTGCTACGCTCTTGGCGGCGACTCCGGGAGCTCCTACCCCGAGGAGAGGAGTCGCGACTCGCCGACTCGCCGGAAGAAGATTGCGACTCGGAGTCGTCCGATTCTCTGCCCTTGCCTCGGTTCGAAGTTGATCTTCGGGAATCCCTATCTCTCTTGCTTCCGCTCCCCATTAATTTCAAGCTCCTCGATTAGAAAAGGCACAAATCCACCAACGAATTCTAAGAACCCTAATGACCAGATGACGCTACTGTCCTCCTCAACTTGGGAGTGGTACCACGGCCTCCCAATGCTTCAAATCTTCTCGGCACTGCACCTCCTAAGTTTTTTTCCCTCATTTTTTTTTTTTTTTGACAGAAACCTACTTTTATAAGTTTATTAAGAAGGATGAACACAGGAGGCCTAAAGGCCCAAGATTCTGTAGAGTCCCAATTACAATTCGAGTGGGCCATTAAATGGGCCGGTTCATTTTCTAGCCTTTTTGTGAAGCTCCACCTGATCTGGCCCATCGACCTGGCCCGCTCCTTCAGTTCTCTAGCAACCATGCTTGCTTTCCAGCCTCACCGATTTGTGCAGATGGGAGGATGCGGCTTCCCCAATCGATAATGACGTAGTCAGAAATGTAATTTGGTAGGCGGTCCAATAATACGCTTGGATTGGAACGTAAAATTAATCGTCAAGTTATAATTGAAACTTTTACGTACAGTATTGCTAGCTAGTAAATTATTATGAGTTGTAGTTGTATATTTTGCATAGACCCAACCAATTTTGGTGGGTGATTAAAGAGTTATTTTGATGGTTACTATTTGGCTTCAAAATCGAAATAAAGGTGTGAATTCCATTCCAATCTCTTTGTAGTTTTGACTCCTTTATAAAATACGAGTTGCATAGTTGATTCTTGTTGTCACACTCCACTCCTAAAATCTTTCCTTGCTTTACCAAATTTCTCATTGGGACCGTTGATGAATTCCTCACTTTTTTAGAAATTATTTTACTTTATAACCCATTTCCCACATCATGATTCATGGATCGATTGTTCTAAACTTGCATAAAACAAATATAATTTGTGGCTAAATTTCGGGGTATTAAGTTTCTTTCACGGCTCCTCTATTATGGCTATAGCCTATAAGATTAGCTAAAGATAGTCAAGAACCCTATTGCATGCAAGCAATCAATCATCCATTATAAAATAATCTAATTTGCAATGAGTAATTATTACATTTGGGATCATATACAATTCTCTCATGTAACCTCTATTGACTCAAATTACTAGGTTGGCTACAAATTTTACAAATGGAAATTGTAATCCATACATGAGATTAGTAAAATGCATTTAAGATAGGTGGAAGCTCGTAAAATTTATCAAGGTCCAATATATAATCCGACCCATTTGATGGCCCAAACCAAAACTTCATACAAGGTTACTTCCTATCCATAAAGTCATGAGATACGATGATAACCTCTTTATAATACTGAGAACGCAAAATAAATCTCTTAAATGTCATATATATTATATGGGAAATTACGATGCAAATTAATCATCAGAATTCAACAATGTTTTTTAAATTATTAGAAGTATTTTTCAATATCTCTAAATTGAATTATAACATTGTCGAATGTCTATCAACTAAACATCAATATAAACTCTTTGACACTGTTAATAAACGGTAAATGATCCACGATGGAATCTCTCCCAACAACTCGAGTAATTGGGATTAACTGGTTTTTGACATGGTATCAGAGTCTTTTGTGACCGTGAGGTCTTCTGTTCGATTCCCGGTGACCCCCATTTATTTCTGTTAAGCACATGGTGTCCGGACCTGTGCCTGTCCAAACTCCAAGCCTATCTAAATGGCTTGAGTTTGAAGGGGGTGTTGATAAATGGTATATAATCTACGATTGAAACTCTTCAAACAACTCGAATTATTGATATAAACTGGTTCTTAACAGACACATTATCATATAATGAAAATATTAATAAAAACCCCGTATTTTGATGTGTGCCTATCACTCATGTTGTATTAGCAACAAAAATATTTTGTTCAAACATAAAAGCGAAAAATGATAGAGCTCAAACAATTTTACCGCCTAAGAGAGGGTTAGGGTAATAAAGTCCTTTCTCTCTCACTTCCTTTAATTTTTTATTTCAATTCAGTATTATACGGAAAATCCCAGTTGACACCTCAAAGCAGAAGAAGAAAAGAAAAAAGAAAATAGAGAGAGAAAAGCTTCAAAACCATCAGCAATATTTTCTTTCTTCCCGTTCCTTCCTTCTTCTGCTGCTCATTTCCGCGGTTCTCCCATGTCCAATCATCTCTCAATGCGCAGCAGGAGCAAGCGGCACCAAGATCTCTGAATCTTTCTTTTCTCGAGCTGAAAGCCCCCCCTCCAGTCCAGACCGAGAAAAGAGTGGAAGAAAGAAAAAGAATGCGGGCTCTCCTCACGCGGCCTTCTTGGCCGGTACTGTTGCTGATCATACTCGCCGCCGTTCCTCTGTCGACAGTTCACTGTACTGGCGTTCTCCACCTGGAGAGGGCTCTGCCACTGAACTATCCGGTTCCCATTGAGCAACTCAGAGCTTGGGACCGGGCAAGGCACGCCCGCGTCTTGCAAGGCTTCGTTGGCGGCGTGGTCGACTTCTCAGTCCAAGGTTCCCCCGATCCTTTCCTCGTCGGGTAACCTTCTCTTTTGCTAGTTTGCCCTGGGTTCTTTTGGTCTGGATTGAAGAGGGAAAGAGGAGTTTCTTATCGAGTGGTGGGGGGATTTTGGGCATTTGTGAGCTCAGCTAATTTAGTTTTGTTTCTGCGGGGGATTTGAAGTTTCCTTAAGTTATTTGAAATTCCTGCTTCTTTAGTGAGGCTTTTCAGTGATGGGGTGCCTCTGGAATTCGGCAAGTCTCTGGTAATTTTGGGGGGTTTTGGTAGTTTGCTTACTGTTGACCCGTGGCACTGGAGAAATCTTGTTCAAGTTCTTGAGAGAATGGTGTCTTGGGTGAGGAATTCGATGGAAGTTTGTGCAGTTGCAAGTTGGATTTGGTGTTATGTTTGTACAGTGATTACCTAATTTGGATTCATGGTTTCTTTGTTGTCTAGTTATTTGACTTATTCTGTTGTTTCTTTGCTGTCTCCCATTAGGGAGGTGTCCATTTTTATCAGGAATCCATGGTTCTTCCTTCCGTTTGTGGTTAACTTTGCCATGGTGTCCTTTGTGCCCGTCCACATTTTCTTGTTTGAAATCGACATTAGAGTGTCTTTTTCCACTAATTAAATGCAGGGCACTGACTGTTTCCTTGAATAAATTGGTTTTTGCAGACTTTATTTCACGAAAGTGAAACTTGGCTCTCCTCCTAGAGAGTTCAACGTGCAGATTGATACTGGCAGCGATGTATTATGGGTGAACTGTGCCTCCTGTGGTAATTGTCCACGTTCTAGTGGCCTAGGGGTGAGCTCTTGCTCCTGTCTTCTTCAAACTATTTGCTTTCTGTGATCTGAAATTTGTTAGTTGCATCTCATGCTTTTTTGGTATCCTGCAGATTCAGCTTAGTTTTTTTGATGCTGCGGGCTCTTCCACTAGTGGTCTGGTTCCGTGTGCAGACCCAATTTGTGCAGCAGCTGCTCGAACCAGTTCCGCACAGTGTTCGGAGAGTGGTCAGTGTGGCTACACGTTCCAGTATGGAGATGGGAGTGCAACTTCTGGTGTTTATATAACTGATACGTTCTACTTTGACTCGATTTTGTCCGGTTCAATGATTGCCAACTCGTCGGCGCTTATCGCATTTGGGTAAGTTGGTCTATATTGGTTTGTGAATTTGATATGTATATACATGTATTGCCTGAATAATGATATCAACAGAGCTAATCAGGTTTGAAACCTCTATTTGATTGCACTTGCTTCTTATGGGATATGTTAGGTTTACTGATTTTGATTTGTTGATTGTAAAAGAAGTAGTAAATGTTTAAGGATTGCCCTTTTCATTCCCTAGAGCTCTTTGTTTACAAATGCATGTGCTGCTCTGCTACCTCCTTACAATTCTTGCTTTCATTTGTCCAAATTGAAGCTTATTTGTATAGTCAACGGTGTTTGGATATAGTTGTAGCACGTACCAGGGTGGTGACTTGACTAAGACGGATAAAGCGGTTGATGGAATTTTTGGATTTGGCCAAGGGGCTCTCTCCGTAATATCTCAATTATCGTCCAGAGGGATAACACCTCGAGTTTTCTCTCATTGCTTGAAAGGAGAGGGCAGTGGAGGTGGTATATTTGTTCTTGGTGAGATTTTGGAGCCAGGGATTATCTATACTTCACTTGTCCCATCACAGTGAGTAGTTTTCTTCTTCATCTAATTGTTCCCTCTTTTATTTTCTGCAAGCTTTTGCTGTAAAATTGACAAATGAAACAAATATTGATGTAGTTCATCTATCGATTTTCAGGGCTCATTACAATTTATATCTACAAAGCATAGCAGTCAATGGACAGGTGTTACCTATTGACCCGGTAGCCTTTTCAACAACAACTAATCGAGGGACGATAGTTGACACTGGAACAACGTTGGCGTACCTTGTGGAGGAAGCTTATAATCCTTTAGTCAATGCTGTAAGTAACATTTATGCTTTCAGCGGCCTTGTTTAACATTGAATCAAGATAAAGTCCTTAGCTTATGATCCTTCAGCGGCCTTGTTTTACATTGAATTTGTTTCCTGAGCTCCAGTAACTTATCGCGACTCACAAGTTAGTTTCTGCACTTCATAAATCTAGTCCTGGAAGGTGAATCTATAAACATGCCACCAATGTATCTTGTATGATGGCAAACTAGTTATATGGTTCTTGTCTTGTTCAGTAAAATGAGTTGATTGTATCAGCTGCAACCTCCTGCTAGAGAAAGAGAGCCAGGTGAACACTAGAAACCAGGTGATTTGAATGGAAGAAAACAAAAATAAAATAAGATGAGTAATGAAGAAAGAAAGCCAGTAAATGATATGTGAAATTTTTATATTGAGGATGCTGTTGCAGTAGTAGCAGTAGTAGAATTTTTGTGTGAGATTGCTATTGAAACTTGTGGAGCACTTTCGTCTGTTTGCTGGAAAAAAGTGACATCTTGTTGAAATTTTAGGTCACTGCTGCCGCCTCACAGTCTGTTACTCCTACAATAAGTAGGGGAAACCAGTGTTACTTAGTCACTTCCAGGTATGAACATTCTACCATGACAATGACTGGGTTTTCCACACCTATTTTTGTTGTGAAAATGGTTACAAGATGGCTTGTTGCCACTTCCTTTTTTCTTAGCAATGTTTGTTTTCTACCTTCATATGCAGTGTATCTGATCTATTTCCACTGGTGAGCTTTAATTTTGCTGGTGGTGCTTCTATGGTACTAAAACCAGAGGAGTACCTCTCTCAGCAAGGTTCCTATGTAAGTTGTTGACGATTCAAAACCTTAGCTATCTGGTTCTTCTTCCATGTACACTGAATTCACTTGTTACATCCTAACTCTTGGTCATAATTTATTGCAGCAGGATGGTGGTGGGATGTGGTGCATAGGTTTCCAGAAGGGTCAAGGACTAACCATTTTAGGAGGTTTGAGACTCACCAATCTGTGTGCTTCGATCATTAAGCAATGCTTTTAAGAATGTCCGATTTTGATTTTGAAATCTTGGTCTCGTGTCCAGATCTTGTTCTCAAAGACAAGATCTTTGTGTATGATCTGGTCCATCAGCGGATTGGATGGGCCAACTATGACTGTAAGTTCGTTCCATAAATCTGATTTTCTATCAATATCCGAATCTTACTTTGTCATTTCCTTTTTCCTTCCCACTCTGAATCTCCGATAACCTGACAATCTCCCCCCTTTTTCAGGCTCGTCGTCAGTAAATGTCTCTGTAACTTCTAGCAAGGACTTCATCAATGCCGGACAGTTGAGTAGTGTAAGCAATTCTTCTAGAGACCTGCTCTTGGAGCTGCTGCCTCTAGCCGTTGCAGCCCTCTTCTTGCACATATCACTATTGATTGAGTTCAAGGTTTTCTGATTTTAACTCACACGTGAACTAAGAAGATTAAACAACAAGATGAATGAATATCATCTATCTTCTAAATTCGCCATTCTTTGCCAAGTTGTTTACATTGGCTTGCCGAGTGGGTCTTCTTCAGATTGCAAAGGTAGTCGGTTTTGCCCCCCTCTCTTACATATATAGTGTTCTTCCATGTCTTCTGCGTTTTGTTGATTGGTGATGGTAACTGGTGAATTAGGGCATATAATGGGATCTATCCATCTCTTTTTTCTCTTTTCTTTTTTGAGGGTGTTAGAAAGGTACGGTGCCCAAGTAGAGCAATTGGCCTGAAAGTGTAAATTATGTAATGGTGTTCAATCAGGCAGCAAGGTTTTTTAGGTGTTGTGGTTTTTGTATCATTGGCATCGTCCCACCAATTAAAGGTGTGGTTTCGTAATCAAGGGTGAAGCTTTTGTAACTAGCACTTCTCTCTTCTCAACTTTTGTAGTTAGAGCTTTTTGTCTTGAGACTACTTTCTGGAATGCAGCTAGTAAAATTGAGTACTAAAATGACAGAATAGTAATTTTAGAACAACTTTTAGCGATTCTGAAGTTATAACCCCAAAGTTACAAGCCCTTTCTTAGCTCAACCCCGTGATACATATTTGATTGCTTTGGCCAAATTGATTTCCATTCCTTGCCGTGGTTCAACCACACGAATAGCCGGAAACTTGTGATGATAGATCGGCGGCATAGCGCCGGCAAACGTATCTTGGTAAATTATGAACTACAACACCAGTCAAATGAACCAAAACGGAAACGACGACTCCCGTGAGGGAGTTTACACTGAGATCGGCGGCGGAACTTGTGACATTAAAGAGCTGAGGACGGCCGGAATTCCTTCCTCGTCGACCAAGTTCCTCACTTTCACGGTCGCGGCGCCGCTGATTCTGTGCACGCTCCGAGCAATTCGAATCAGATCGCTTCCTTCCATCTTCTTCGCCGACGGGACCAGCACCAGCTGCGTCCCCAACATCTCGTCACAAATCCTCTCGAACTCCATCAGCACCTCAGCCAAAACTCCAACCCTGTTTCTCCCAGCCAACACCTTCACAAGACCCATCAGAAGCTCGCCGGTTCCCCCTCTCTTCCCCAGCTCCTTGACCAATTCCGCCTTCTCTTCGCCGCCCATCATCGGGTCGGCCAGGAAATTCCGGATCGGGTCGGGCTTCAGCAGCCTGGAGAGCCTCCGGACGTCCCGCCGGACTCTGTCGAGGGCGCCTCTGCAGCGAGCTATGTCGACAAGCGCCGCCGCGTAGCCGCTCGCTGGACTCCGGTGGGTTTCCGGAGCCGGGGCGGCGGGGGTAGCGGGAGGTTTGGGCGTGCGGAGGGAGAAGGTTGGGGAAGCGGTTCGGGATTTGGAGGCCGGGCGGGAAGAATTGGGTTTGGCGGCGAGGTGAGGATGGAGCGGGTGGAGGGCTGCGGTGAGAGTTCTGAAGGGAAAGGCTTCGCGAGATGGAGGATGGACGAACGGAGCTTTGAAGGTGGAGATGGAGCTTGAGAGGGTTTCCATGGCGGGTGATGCTAATTCGATTGGAGTTGGGGACTTCGGGGGTTCTTTTTTCTTTCTCCGGACTGTATTTCACTGGGAAGAAATTTCAGCCACTCCATTCCATTTATCTATTGGGTTTCAGCCATATCGTGGAGTTTCAACGATCAATCAGAAACATGAGGCTTGCTTAATTAACTTAATGAGGAACATGCCACAGTATCACATTCCCCGTCTCGCTAATCTCATTGAGATAACATCTGATATCGATATTCTGATATAAGACTATTTGTTCCGGCTGAGATCCACTTGATCATGTAAATTTTTTGAATAATGAGTAGTAAAAGGGGTTTGCCCAAATATCCCCTAAATACTAACTCAACCCAATACTAAAAGTCTAAAACTAATATTTAGATTTTCACAATACATGATTATCATATCGACTTGGTTTGCAGTAAATGGTTTTTTGTCCACTACATTGCATCTGGCTCCTCTTTAAGTAACGTGTGACTCTGTTGGAAGTTTTACTATCACAGTCTTAATGAAATTACATATTTAACCATTAAAAACATAATTTCTTTCAATATTTTATTCAAAATTGACAAATGTGCTGGATCCTAAACATAAAAAGGTTTCGGATTATTAGAAAATTTAAGTTTATAAAAAAATACATAATTTAATTTTTTAAAATTAGATTACCACTAAAAACTATATCACCATAATTTGAAAACTACCTTTTCCTATATAAAGAAAGTTGTTAACCGCATATATGATTTTTTTTTTTCATTTTGACTTGAAAAATTCAATGTATATAATTTCTCTATTTTTTTGGAAAATCTCAAATAGAGTTATTCAATCCAAAGTCTTAACTTTGAGTACATGGATCCTTTCTTACAAATAATCTAAAAAAAATTCATGTAAATTTCTTTTGTTAGTACACAAAAAGGGGGAAATTATCCTTAATAAATACATGAAGATTGAAGATCATAAAATGTAAATACAAAATTTTTTAAAGGAAAAAATTGCATTAGTTGTAATTCTATTACAAAAGAAGTAAAAATGAAAAAAAAAAACAAATACCAAATAACCAAAGTCCAAAGTCCAAAAAAAATAAAATGACAGTGCCCGCCACGCGACAAAAAGTCGCGTGTGGAATATTAAGAAACTTCGGCCCCCTTCTAGGAAAACGTCCAACTAACGCCCCATGCAAAATCCGCACACACACTCTCCACACTACCCACACAAGAACACAAACAAACAAAACTCTTCCCTTCGTTTCCCAATTCCCCTCCTCCACCGCCAACCGCCGGCGCCGCTGCATTCTCCCCGTCTCCTTCACCGCCATTTCTGCATTTCCCTTTCTGATTACATCCTTCTCTCATTTCCTTTTTCATCAATTCAGTCATTTAATCTTCTGCCTTCTATAACTTCCACAAAAAAAAAAAACAGCCATAAATAAGCCAAACATAATCGCAAAAAATTGACGCCAGAAAGCGAAGAAGAAGAGAAACGCCGCTTTCCCTCTCTCTCCGGCCCTTTCCTTCGACTCTCTCCGTCTCTCGCTCTCAATTGTTCGCTGAACTTCACTCCTCCGCGCGCGATCGCTCTGCATTTCGGTGAAGAATCCGAACGGAATCGATCGACCGAGCGAGAGAAGGGATCAATCATGGCGGTCGTGCCTGCATCGACGACGGCGCTGTACGTCGGGGACCTGCACCCTGCCGTCGACGAAGACCAGTTGAAGGCGGCGTTCTCCAAATTCGAGAGCGTCGCGTCCGTGCGCGTGTGCCGGGACTCCACCAACGGGAGGTCCCTCACCTACGGTTACGTCAACTTCATCTCTCCCCAAGACGGTATACAATTTGGAATTGATTCTTCCAGTTTTGTTCTATGGTGAATCGATAATGTGGATGCCTCGGCTTTCATATTCATCGCTCAATTATCTGATCAATTTTCCGATGTGCGCCTGAATTGTCGAATCGGTTTGCTCTCTTCTCACTGTTCTGTTCTGTTTGCTTCTCGCGAAAATGCGGGCAAGTGGAAAGGAAAATCGGAGGCGATTTTCAGAAGTACAGATGCAGCCTTTTGATGATGTATGACTGGTTGTTGGATTCTGATTTGGAAGAGGAACGATCGACAGCAATGGAGATTTGTTTTTTTTTAATATTATTATTATCATCATAATTTTGCGTCTTAGATTTGTCCTTTTCTCGTAATCATTGGTTTTTCTTCGTTGTTTATGTGGTGTATGTGTTTGATGAGGAATTTGACGATGAATTTGCCTAATGCTCTGCTTGTTTGGATCTCCTATTTGCTTTTGTTGGTGGAGTGGAAGTGGTGGCACTGTGGCCTACTAGTCCACTGTAATGGAGAACAGTGTCATCATGCTTGATATACATATATTCTTGAGACAGATGGGTAGATGGAAATCCACAATTCATTACTGATTGTGACAGTGGAAATTTATGTTCTTGTGCAACTGTTCAGCAAGTTGCGGATCAGTGAATGTCTGAATGGTTAATTTTGTTCAAATATGTTACTGTTCATATGCATGAGAATTTAACAAGTCCTTTTACTTTGTGATTGTTGGTCTCTGTCTGAGAAGCTCTGGAAGCCCTCGAAGTGATGAACCACACTCCACTGAACGGGAAACCGATGAGGATTATGTGGTCAACCCGCGATCCTGATGCGAGAAAGAGTGGAGTGGGAAATGTGTTTGTCAAGGTAATTGTTCTACATTAGTTCGATCATAAATTAAGAATTTATGGTGGTTAGTGGGAGGGTGTGAGTGTGGCTGAAACAAAAATGTGTTATTTTCCCCTGGTGCAGGACTTGAGTGAATCTGTCACTAGTGCTGCGCTGCAAGAGCTGTTTGGCCAGTATGGGAATATCGTGTCTTGCAAAGTTGCAACGACTGATGATGGAAAGACTAAATGCTATGGCTTTGTTCAATTTGATAATGAGGAATCTGCTAGTACTGCAATTGAAAAACTCCATGGCACCATGTTTTATGATAAGCAGATGTAAGAGGAGTTTCATTCTGTTGTTTTGCTTTTCCAGCCTTTTTTTCCTGCTTCCTGTTTGATACTACATTTACTCTCCTGCCTCTCTGTATGTTCCTGCTTCATTGTTAGATAAATTTGGTTCCAGTTTAACTAGTGGTTAAAATCTATGGTGCAGTTATGTGGGGAAGTTCATTAAGAGAAGTGATCGAGCTTTGGCTAGCCCCGATGCTAAATACACTAATCTGTATGTCAAGAACTTGGAGCTAGATGTCACAGAAGACGTTCTGCGTGAGAAATTCTCCAAGTTTGGCACAGTGTCTAGCTTGGTAATTGTTAGGGATGACAATGGATCCTCTAAGGGTTTTGGCTTTGTGAATTTTGATAACCCAGATGATGCTAGAAGTGCTTTGGAAGCGATGAATGGGATTGAACTTGGTACGTTGTGTATATTTTTGGCCATTGATTTAGCAGTACGATCTGCATTTGCTTGGTAGTAACAGGTATGACTGGGATTCTCTGTCCTTCATCTATAAGCAGGATCAAAGATCCTGTACGTAGGAAGGGCACAAAAAAAAGCTGAGCGGGAGCAGATTCTGCGTCGTCAGTTTGAAGAGAAACGCAAGGAGCAGATATTGAAATACAAGGTACTACTAGACATTTCCTTTCAAGGATTGAGAGATGCTTTCAAGTTTTTGAAACTCCAAACTCTTGATGTGGCTCTTGTGACCCCTAGACCAACACGACGTTTAATTTCTCTAATGCCCAACACATGAGATCATCCAAAATGAAAGTGTTGGCATGGATTTAAAAAGAATTCTGTTCCAATAACCTTGATGCTTGCATAGCATCCTGTGTTTTTTGTTGCTCTATAACCAGGATATGGATTACATTCCCATAGAAATAGATTGGCGATCAGTGTCACTGCTAAGCCAACCTATCAATCCCTTTCTCCTCTAATCCTTGCACTGCTCTATCGTAAATGCAGGGTTCAAATGTGTATGTCAAGAACATAGACGACGATGTCACTGATGAAGAACTGAGAGAGCACTTCAGTAAATGTGGCACAATCACTTCCTCGAAACTTATGAGAGATGAGAAAGGAATGAGTAAGGGATTTGGCTTTGTCTGCTTCTCCAATCCCGAGGAGGCGAACAAAGCAGTGAATACATTTCAGGGTAAGTTGAGGATCTTTCTTTTACATGTGAGATTATAGTAGAGATAATCCGTCCTGTACTATGTTTATACATTTGTGCCATCTTTGTTGTGGAAAATCATGGATGCTTCTTACGGATCTGACAAATTAGAAAATACCGTAAAGAATTTCGTTGAACATGAAACCTGGAGGTTTGCTTCGGATAGCTTGAAACTTAGACAGACATGAGGTTTAATAATTGCTAACAGAAAGTTGCCTGAAATTTTTTTATCTTACATTGATGTTCCAGGGTGCATGTTTCACCGCAAGCCATTGTATGTTGCTATTGCTCAAAGGAAGGAGGATAGACAAATCCAGTTACAGATGCAGTATGCACAACGCATGGTTGGACTACCTGGACCTTCTACTGGTGTCATGCCGGGTGGATATCCTCCACTTTACTATACTGCTCCACCTGGTCTCGTTTCACAGGTCTCTCCAAGGCCAGGACTTATGTACCAGCCGTTGGGTATTAGGCCTGGATGGAGGCCTAATGGCTTTGTTCCTACAACCAGACCAACCTATCAACCAGCCCAACTTCCCATGGTAAGTTCTCTTTGATTTCTGCTGTTTCGTCGAGTTTCGACTGATTAACTTCTCCTCGTCCCTTAATTCTTTTTCTTCCGGCTTCTCTGCAGATGCCTAATGCTCAAAGGCAGCCAAGGCAAAACCGGGTTAGGATGAATGGCAACATGCTTCCTCCTCAAGGCATTGCCAACTCTGCCTCCTATTTACAACCTGCGTCTCCACCTCTACCTTCACCAAAAGATCAAAACAACCAGGTCATTCTCTTTCCTGTGTACAGCAGTTGCATTGCAGCATAATGCCTACTCTCTTTCCGACCGTGGAACTTGAGGCTGTACTATGCCATATCAATCTTGCATTTCCACCAGAACCTGATATGTACCAGCCTTTTGTGATTTCATGCAGCGGGCTGCCCCAGTTAAGCACGTCCCAAATGGTCGCTCACGCGAATCAAGCAAGTCTCCTGGAGTCCCGTCAGCTGCTCCAAATTCTACTGGACCTGCGCCACAAGGATCAGAAATGCTGAGTACAATGCTTGCTTCTTCTACCCCTGAGGAGCAGAAGCAGATTCTAGGAGAGCGTCTTTACCCTCTTGTCCAGAAGCACAAGGTAATTCTTTCTTTCATTCTTTCTTTCTAGTCTTCAATCCCCTTAGAATATTGGCTTCCTTCATTGTGCACCGTTGGATATCTCTATCTCTACCTTGTCCAATGAATTGCTTGACTATGCATAATACGCAACAAATGCATGCTTTGTCCATCTTTGAACGACCGAAGTTCTAACCAATGATGGATTTACCATCTGCTCTGCCTGCAGCCTGATCTCGTGGCGAAGATCACCGGAATGCTGCTGGAGATGGACAATGCAGAGCTGCTTCTGCTGCTGGAATCCCCGGAATCTCTGGCCGCCAAGGTGGAGGAAGCCGTGCAGGTGCTCAAGCTGTCCAAGACCAAAGTCTCCGGCGGTGGCCAAGATAGCATGCATTCCGGCTACCATATCTCCGCCGAGGTTGCTGTCAACTGAGACAAGGGAGGATGACTATATTCTGCCAATATGCTTAGTGACGATAGAGCTCCAAAGTTTTGATACACAGGAGAAATCTTTCCCTTTCTTTTTTCTTTCCAATTCTGGATTTACCTTAGTGAGGGAGACTTCAGGTTTTTCCATTTCCGGTTTGCTGGATTTTTTGGTACATTGGTAGCTTTCTTTGATTAGTTCTCTGGAGACAGAACGATTTTCTTTTTTCAAGTAATAGCATGGACGAGGATTTTGGACAATTCTGCATTTTGCCCTGCCATTTACTTTGATTTTTATACTGGGCTGACTGCTTATGGCGTTTCTTATTTACCTGAAGGATAGGTAATAGGTTGGGGACTTGGGGGAGATCAAGTAATCTAACCATGATTCTAAAATTACACATTTTACTGTTTCATTTTAGGATATATATCATGATATTAATGCATTATATAATTTGAGAACTCATTTTACCTTATGTGTGTCTCATCATGAACTCATTTTCAATAAATTTTCTCATAAACATAAGTAAATGACAATATTCTCTCTAACTTTTAACGTTTTTTCGGTCAATTGCCTGAACCTCACGAGCTGCTTCTCTAGCGACTTGTAACATGCACTTCCTCATCCAAATTCCAATCTATTAGCTCATGGTGAGAGTTCTTGACTTGAGAATAAAATTTAAAATATACAATTAATTTTAGAAGAAAACTTCTAAGTTAGTGTGCTAACCATTATCAAATTGAAAACGACTTCTACAAGAGTTGAGCACAATAGAGAAGGCTCTACCACTATCCAATTTTACCATTATACATTCTCAACTGATAGGCGATTAGATCATGCAAATTAACATCTTCAAAATCCTAAATTTTATAGGCTGAGTGAGAGCACAAAAGTTTAGAAATTGTTATATGGTCGAGATAAGGGGTGGTCTTACCTCCATATTACTAGAAAGCATGAAGAATACAACTAATTAATTAGTTTATTTGGCGAATTAATGACTAGGGGATATCGTTTTAACAGTTTGTTTATCGGCAACCGTAATTTAGTTTCACCGGGAAATTTTACCGCTTAAATTGTAAGCTAGGGACTAGAGTCCATTTCCAAAGGGGAAAACGTGAAATGTACGCTTCGCACGGTATAAATAAGTAGCTCGGTGTTGAAAGTGGGGAGAAAAGCGCTTCCAGCTCTCCAGTACTTTCTCATATCCGCTTCGTCTTCCCCATACTTCCTCCGATCTCGGAACTCCGTTCGCAATGTCGGACAACGCTGCTGCTCCCGCCGCCGAAGTTGAGAAGAAGCCGTCGCCGCCGCCGGAACTGAAACGCTCGTGGGGCGACGAGGCGGAGGAGGAGGATGACAAGCTCCCGCCGCCGCCGTCCCCTATCGGCGAGGGGCCTTCGAAATCCGAAGTCTCCGAGCTCGACATCGAGACGCTGAAAATCGACGAGAGCAAGAAGAAGGTCAACGAGTTCCTCGAGGAGCCCGAAGACTCCACCATCGAAGCTGTGAATATCTCTCCCGTCTCTTTACTCGGTTGCCTGCAAAGTTCTCGAATTAGAGAGAGCGGAAATCAATTAAAGCTTTGAAATTAGGGTTTTTTTATCTGATTCGTTCGATTTCTCTTTCCTGGATTTGGGGTGGAATAGGTGACTACCGGCGAAACGCCGTATACTTCTGCTGCTACGTTTGAGGAGCTGAACCTCTCGCCGGAGCTGTTGAAGGGTTTGTATGTGGAGATGAAGTTTGAGAAGCCTAGTAAGATTCAGGCCATTAGTCTGCCGATGATCCTGACCCCTCCGTACAAGGATTTGATAGCTCAAGCGCACAACGGTTCAGGGAAGACCACTTGCTTCGTGCTGGGAATGCTGAGTCGTGTAGATCCATTGATCAAAGCGCCTCAAGCGTTATGCATCTGCCCAACTCGGGAATTGTCTATTCAGGTCAGGAACAAACTTTCGTCTAAAGTTGGATCCTTGCTATGATCATTTATGCAGCAGAATCAATTGAAAGTTTGGAACTTTGTGAAGTTATTTAGTCTGGTTTGGCTTATAGTAATTGATACTTGCAGAACATAGAAGTTCTAGAGAAGATGGGAAAGTACACTGGGATTACATTCGAATGTGCCGTGCCTGTGGACAGTGGTAGTGAGAAGTTCAATCGGAATCCAGTGTTTGCTCAGGTTGTTATTGGCACCCCGGGAACCATCAAAAGGTGGATGTCGCAGAGAAAGCTAAGCGTCCAAGAGATGAAGGTTCTTGTATTTGACGAGGCAGATCACATGCTGGCAAAGGTAACCTGGGATTTCTTGTGATATTTCTTGCCCCTGTGGAATTTTCTTTCGTATTGCCTCGAGTCTGTTGGTTTACTTTTGATACCCCAGTGTGCATTGGTTTCTATGCTGCATGATCGTTGCTATGTTCTGGTTTTGTGGATTGTAAAACTGCTGGTCCCTCTTGGAAGAGTTTAGGATAAAAATCGTCATAACTTAAGAGGAACCTTAAAGTGCCAGCACAACTCTGAGTCATGCTTGATCTAGTTGTTTTGATTCCATTAATGGTTTTTTCCAGTGCATATGAACTGGCAGTTGGTCTGATTTGTTCTTAAGTTTTCTGCGTTCTTCTTACTGATTTATTTATGCAGGATGGCTTTCAAGATGACTCCCTCAGGATCATAAGAGACATCCGGAAAGCCCAACGGAATGCTCAGGTCTGTTGTTATACTTCCTAAGGTTACTCTCTTCACATTTTAGCAATGATTGACATGTACCATTGACTTCTAACCAGTTCTAATTCGGTTTTTCAGGTTCTTTTATTCTCAGCAACCTTTGATGAGAATGTCAAGAACTTTGTTTCAAAGGTTGTCCACGACTACAATCAACTGTTTGTCAAGAAAGAAGAACTGTCATTGGAGTCTGTTAAGCAGTACAAGGTGTTCTGCCCTGATGAGCAGATCAAGATTCGGGTGATAGGGGAGAGGATCCTCGAACTCGGCGAGAAGCTTGGACAGATTATTATCTTCGTGAATTCAAAGAAATCTGCTAGCATGTTGCACACTGCACTTGTGGAACTCGGTTATGAGGTTACAACGATACACGGTGCTCTTAATCATGAGGACCGTGACAAGATTGTCAAGGAGTTCAAGGACAATCTTACAAAAGTTCTCATTTCGACTGATGTGCTTGCTCGAGGTTTTGATCAACAGCGGGTATGTTGTCTCATGGAAGTATAAATATGAATGCTGAATTTGGAAAAAACGATTGAAGGGCTTACTAATTCTCCTCCTTTTGCAGGTTAATTTGGTTGTCAACTTCGACCTGCCCATCAAGTATGATAATACCGAGCAGCCTCCAGGCCGTAGAGTTCCACGAGAGCCTCATTTTGAGGTGTACCTGCACAGAATCGGCAGGGCTGGGCGTTTTGGCAGGAAAGGTGTGTTGAGCTGCCTTCAGTGTCGCTGGTGTTCTTTAATCTTACCTTTCTAAACACCCATACGATTCTAATTGCTTGTTGATATGACGCGTGCAGGAGCTGTTTTCAACCTCATAATGACGGAGACCGATCGAGTCCTGATGGAGAAGATAGAGCGCTACTTTGACAGTCCCGTCACTGAGGTAAAGATGATCACATATCCTTGGCTTCAAGAATTAATACGAACATAATTCCAGAAACACTCTGTACTTCCTTGTTATATAGTTTTTACCCATCTTAAATTATTTTCCTATGCATTGTGATATCAGGTCCCGTCTTGGAAAAGCGAAGAAGACTTCGCTGTGGCTCTTAAGTCTGCTGGTTTGCTGTGAGGCCGCTGTAGTGAAGGGGTTAGAGAGTGTTTTATTGTGTAGCCATTTTGTGGTCGCCTTTTCTATCTTGTTTATAGCGGTTTCGGTTTGTGTTTGTTGAACTCTGTAGAATCAGTTTCGAACTTTCGATTCAATACTATTGTGCAACATGAAATTCAGTTTAGAAATCAATGAAATTGTTGCATCAGCTGCAAACATTGATTTTTCTCTTTTGCATATTATCTTTGGTAATATTACTATATTGGATGCCTAGCCAGGTAGAATGAGGTATGCACGTTGTGGTTTAGTGCTCATCCACTAACACCATCTGGTTGGTTCTATATATAAATGCACAAATATGGAACCATATCATTCTCAAAGTTCTCTCAATTTGGGGGAAAAGAAAGACAGCGAACTAGCAGCACCATTGACAGAAAGAGAGGAATGGCAACCACCAGCTCTTCCATCCTTGCAGCCACAATCCTGGTCTTGTTCGGATTAAGTTTCGCCGCGGCGAATTGGGGCGAGGAAGCTCCCACGTCGGAGCTGATCCACGTCTCCGGCAAGGTCCTCTGCCAGGACTGCCAGATGAGCTACAAGGACTGGATCAGCGGCGAGCGACCCATCAAAGGTACACAACCACCGTTGACCCTTGCCTTCATTTCTAACCTCTGGTCGCCGTTGTTGCAAGATGTGGCAAACACCAATATAAGTTGTAACCCACTATTTTTATTTTTTATTTTCAGGCAGCACGGTGTCGTTGACATGTATGGACGACCGGAAGCGGGTGCATCACTACGACAGCGACGTGACCGACGAGCGAGGGGAGTACGAGATGGTTGTGAGCAAGTACGTCAACGGGAAGCGATTGAACGAGAAACAATGCTTGGTCAGGCTCGTGAGCTCCCCTGATTCCGACTGCAACGTCCTCACCGACTTTGCCGGAGGGAAGTCCGGCGTCAAGCTCAGCCAGCCTACGTCGGTGTACCGTGGCACCACCAAGTACGACGTCGGATCGTTCTACTACACGCACCCGATGTGCGAGCGCCCTGAGGTCGGCGAGTCTGATGGCAAGTCCGGTGGTGATGATGATCAGGAGTATTACCGTTACCCTGAAACCAAATACTGATCCTTTCTGGTTTGTGATGTGGATTAGTCCACCATTTTCAATGAGTTAACTCGAATGATTTTGTAACGACGCAATTCTTAATTAATGATCGATATAGTGATTCAATGAATCTTGTATTATAGCCGACTACTTGATTGGATTAAATCATTGGGAGAGATTTAACAAGAGCCAAAATGCTTATGAAGTCTGATCATCTCGGTACCTACTTAATTATAACCAAATTGACGGAATTCCGAGTTCATGTCCTGAAATTATCAGAATGAGAAACTCAAAGGGTCAAAGTTAACCTTTTCCGTTGTTCCCCTGAAGTTATCCCGACGAAATGGAAGGCTCATTTTACCGCAAAAACGTGGCCCAATTGGTGGCGGTGGAGAGAAGAGTTTCAGCTGATTGCATCTCTAGTTGGTGATGTCAGGGGTAGCAAGTAAAGCAGTTTCACTTCCAGTTGAACTCAGAATTATGGTAATCTTTGAACATTGGTCACTGGAGATTGATTTTTGCACAGTTACACTTCATTCATCTCTAGCAGGTTCATTAGGGTACAAGCTAACAAAATGATATATAGATAATCTGGAGAGGAAAACCCTGTGTAGAGGGAACATAACGTCTCCTGTTCCGTGAAAACGTTTCTTGTAACAGCATAGATTATCATGGCAAGCATTCAAAAAATTTATAACAAAAATGTGATCGAAGAAAGATTATACAAACTAGAAGTGCAGACCGCCTATAGTGACATTGTAAAACATACCCAAAACAGAGCAAAGTTCACAAGTATCTCCCTTCATTTTTACATCCGTTAGCCTGTTGATGTCTTCGCAGCTAAGTGGATGAGTGCTCGCTTGTGGTACGTGGTTCGGAGCTTCTTGTACCTCTGCACAAACGTGGGGAGATCGATCTCTCTGTCTAGAAACTGTCTGTGTAAGGCTTCGGATTCGTCCTCTGCTTTGGCCATTGCCTCTGCAAAAAGTACATGCCATGAGTTTTCGTGCCAACTTCACCAGGTTCACAAGAGAGCACTGAACATTAAAATTGAAGATAGTTATGGTAATTTGTAAGAGTTTTACCTTGAAGCTTGTGGAGGAGGGAGGCTGGAGAAGATGACCTCAGCATCTCATCTTTCTTTCTTTCGAGCTCATTGAGTTTCTCTTGAGCAGCAGCCAGCTCAGTCGTTCGTATAATCCGGCACTAGCAGAAGGACATGGGGTTAAAATGGCAACACCGGACAGGAATGAGCATTAGATGGAAGAAAAGAAACTTAGTTAGAGTACTGAGTCTAGTCTCACTTGATTTCTTAGTTCCACTATGCGAGGCTCCTTCTCCAGATTTTCTCCTGTTCATCAAAGAATGGGAAATATTAGCATTCCTCTGGTTCATTAGGAAGTCGTAAGAGAGAATCGTTTTGAGAGATTCAGGCCACTCACTTGCAAGTTGCAAGGTCTCCTTGCGAAGTTCATCTCGTATCTAATCAATTGAGAATAAATTGTTAGAGGAGAAACAGAACTGTAAGATTAGGAACAACATGGTTATATGTAACTGAAAGATGCAATCTTTGTTTATTCATGCAATATCACAAGCTCATACTATCCCTTCGCAAAGTTGGTATCTTGTTTTTGGATCACAGTGAAGCAAGATCAGACAATAGATCATAGATGACAATTCATGTATAACGGCATTTCACAACGAAACCAGGAAGGAGAGGCTATGCAGTAGTGACTTACATTGTTCTGGATTTTGACCTGATCAAGTGAGAACAGAAATTGATTGTATGCATCCTTGTCCGTGAGTAGCTTCCTTAAATCATCAACACTGCATGTATAGTAAAAAAGTTGATCAGAAAACAACCATAAAGAGAGACAAGATAAAATCTTTATATGCTTAAGACACTAATAAGCAACTGGGGACAAATTGACAGAGTAGAAAAGCATAGCATAACGCCATAACCAATAGGTCCCAAATGGATCAATTACCATCAAAATCAAAGTAATAGACTACAGCCACTGATACTGAGTAAACAAATGAACATCTAGCACACGATAATCAACATAAGGGTAATGCGAGAGCACACAGGACGGGCACAACGACATCTTATAGATCACTAGTAGAAAATAACTACTGATCCCTCCTTCAAAACTCATAGCAAGCTTGTATTACAAAACTGCCAGAAAGGTACCAAGAACACAAGGAAAACTAACCTTTTATCCTTTAGAAGAGATATAACACCAGCAGCTTCAGCTGGCGATACATGCACCGCAGGAGAATCTGAAGGCCTATTCATTCCAAATCCACTCGACGAGCTACCACTTGGTGTCCCCGGGCGAGAAGAGCCGGGAGAAGATCCAACTACGGATGGAGGGTACCAAGACTGAGAAGCTTCCTGCGGCCGTGGCTGCTGAGCATCCTGCTCCTGCGAGCCCCTGCACCAAAAACGTCAAGAATATAAGGACCAGTCCACAGGCAATTCACATACAGAGAACTCCAACAAAGCTAAAATATGGCAGAAGAAAGAGAACCACTTTACGAAAGCCATCTTCACATAACTCTTCCAACTACGAAACCCAGAAGCTTAATTCAAATCCCTAGAAGTCCTCAATTCAAGCCAAACCAATCAGATAACATTTCCGAGAACCAACTGTGCGAAGTACCTCCCCCCTCCCTCAAACAGGTAATCGAGCTCCTAATAAATACTAAGGCTTTCCAATCCAACCGAATTCGAATCAGTAAATTGTGCAGGGAATCGTAAGCGCGATTGAAGAGGAAAATCGAGATGAAATACCAGAATTTGAACATGGATTCCCGAAACGATCCTCCCCCCAGATCGTCCGACGGTAACAAAAAGAAAGAAACTTCAAACGAGAGCTCTCCTAGCAGAGACTCCGGCGGCTGAAAGTAGATGAATCGTTGATTGAGTACGAGAGGAGGGAAAGATCTTTCCCGCTCCGGAGGAAGTCGCAAGCAATAACAAGGCACTGGATTTTATTCGGTGGTCTGGTCGTTTTCTTCCGAGACCGATTTGGGGAATTGGCAGATAGTAATATAACAACATTGCTTTGAAGTTGTGCCACGTGGTGGCTCTTTGTTGGTTGGACGCTATCATCGAAACATAAACGGTACCGTTTAAGGAGGTGTTGGAAAATTAAATTTGTAAGGAATAGCTTAAATTATTAATTAAGAAGATAAATGATAAACTGATCATATAGTCGAGTAAAGCCAATTACGAACATTAAAACATGCAGATAAAAAGGTACCTTTTAGCCAGAACAAGTATTTTGTTCTCCTTATCAACAAATCTATAATGCACGTCAAAAAACAAATCTATAATGAACAAAAAATAAAACACACATCATCTATGTGAATGACACATATAAATAATATAAACATCAAACTTTGCCGGTCAATAGGCCATGTTAGTAGATATTAATCACAATTTTGATCATTTCTAATCAGCATTAACCATCATATAACAATAAAATTAAACCTCCCCTTGATTACGGATATCAAAATTGGGCCTCCATACTTACGCGACATTTTCGGGAGTTATCTTCAACTTCTTCCTAGCGGGCCCATTCATCAAATCATACACACTAGTGGGCTTTTGAGCTAATGACGATCGATCACCAATGGAGGAAAGAAGAGATTTGATTTAACTCATAACGGAAGATTTACAAATTTTCACATAATCAATCCCTAATCTTTGGGTAGTTTTAAAGTGTTTTGAAATTAGAATCAAGAATCTGAAATTCCACTGCATGGAATGATAGTGCATGAACAACATCTACCATCATGCCAATTAATCATCTCCTTTCCTTCTATTCATAAAAAAAAAAAAAAATCATCTCTTTTCCTTCTAGTCACACAAATATAATAATGTATTTCTGAAGTCATCCATCATGTTTCTGCTCGCCTTTCCTCACCTTCGTTTGCTCTGCGCCCAACAACTATAGCTTCCATCGTACATAACCTGATACTTCAGAATTGGAGTGTCCCAACCAGAAATCTTAGGTTGCAATTGGAACATCCTCCAACCAGGAAAAACTTGCAGTTCAGCTACGAACTCCATCTCTCCCCCTGTCCCCAAATTGCACGACAGTTGACCACATTCAGGATCACTAGCCCAATGATTGAAGAAGACAACTTCCGGTTTCTGTGGATGTAGAGCAGCAACAAAACACAAGCCTTGGAGTCTATAATTGCCCAGCTTCACCGGCCCATCACATACTTTCCTCCAAATCATTGTACCATCATCTTCTTCATCTAGTCTCCAAACACTCAACACAATCCTCGCACCTTTAGGTCCCGTGCCATCTTCGCATACAATCATGTGCAGAGCACCCTTGGAGACGGAAATATTCCACCACCGCTTCCCGCCAGAGAGCGGGGTGGTGACATCAATTGAAGTGGGAGGTGCATCGAGGAGGCGGAAAGGATCGATAGCCGCAATAAAAGGTTCATAATACACCTCATTTTTTTGTGCTCTACGATACGGCAGAAACACAACCCCATTGCACGAGACGACATTGGTTCTTTGATATCTGAGGACGCCATCAAGAACGAGAGCCTCCTTGGTCCATTCTCCAGTCTCCGAGCAAAACACGTCCAACTTGATCGAGTTCACATGTTGATACGTGCACACCACCCGGAAACGATAGTCGAGATCGATGTAATTAGAAACGCTACCACCACTGCTGCGCCGTTGACACGCCAGGCTCACGACCAACTTCTCGTACCCAACGGGCCTTTCGGGCGCCAGGGGAAGGGCGGCCCACTGCTTCGTGAACGGGTTGCAGAGCAAGTAGGACCTGAAGATTTCGTGATGGGAACGGATTCCACCTGCCTCCGCGAACCCGCATAAAAGCAGGTCGTCGAAGGAGGAATCCCAGACCGTGAAATGCTCTGGGCCGCCGACTCGGTTAATACTGGGCGTGGGGACGAAGCCACGGACGACCGATTCCGGGTCGTTGGTGGCGACGAGGACAGGGGGTTTCGGCTCGTTGTTGGTGCTCTGATGGTGGGAAACGAAACGGCGGTTGAAACGGGGGCTGGAGATCACGGCTTTCCACCTCTTGCACACGGATTGGCTCCGGCAGGCGGAGCTGGGGTTCGGGAAGCTGCGAATCAGAATCTCTACCAGAAGATCGTCTACTAGCTTGCTTATCGTCATCTGAAATCAGCTGCCGAGGATTAATTGTATGGTAGACGTACAGTTACAGTAGATATATATAGAGTACAGAGCTGCAGATCGCCTATCCGTAACGGAAAAGGACACCTATTATGTATGTGATTAAACGGAAAAGGATTCCAATGGAAGAAATTTGGATGCGTATTTTCTCAGCAGCATTTACATTATTTCTCCTTCCGGCTGTTTGTTCACCGCACCGGGAGAGCCTCCGTCGTCGTATAAAAAGTTGTTACAGATCCTGCAACACGAATAATAAATAATAGGTTCAGGACACTTATTTATTTTGAAAGAAAGAAGATTATTTTTAGGTTTTGTATGTTGTACGTATTGTTGTTTCTGAGGTATTTTAATGAGTTATTTATTAGTAATTTGAGTTCAAATAATTCACGATGAATTATTCGAATATAAATAAGTTTGGTAGCATTTTACTGAAATGAGTTATTTGAAATAACTGCTATCTCCATGTTATTTTGAAATAATTCAGTTTCAAAAAGAAATAGTAAGGTGAAACCCTAGCTCCCGGATCCTCGCCCGCCAGACGCCAATGCGGGTTCAAGGAGGCCGCCGCAAACCACGTCATTGCCGAATAGTAAGGCCGACAGGGAGACGCAACCAGCGAAGAAGTTATAGTATCCAGATTATATAGAAAAAAACAACTCCAGAGTTAAAAACTGGACAAATAATATTCTATTATATTCCGCTTGTAATTGCTTATGTTCGATTCATTTATGTCTTTTTTTGTAGGGAATCAAAGTTTTTTTTCTAAAATTTGAGAATCAAACCAAACCAAATTGTAAATGGATATGTCCTTTGTACGGTCAAGTTTCCACTTAATAGACCGTTTGGTATAAAATGAATCGAGAATTCATTTCATTATAAAATGAATTACCGTGTAGAATTCATTGTCAAATGAAATCTTGTGTTTGGTATGTCATATTCAAATCGTTAGAAATAAAATAAATTATCGTGTAGAATTTTTTTCAAATGAATTCTTGTGTTTGGTATGTCATATGGATAAGTAATTTGGTTAATAAAAGAGGATAATTATATTTTTCTATTATAATTAGTAAATACTTGTGGAATTCATTTGGAAATTCCATCTCGATTCCTCGAAATTGATATAACTAGTTCCAATTCCATAGAATTCAAAATTTAGAATTGGAAATGAATTCTTTTATATACCAAACATAAAAAAAAATCATTTCAAAATGAAATTTCCAAACTGTGTGTAAAAGAAATTCCTTTACATTTTCAAACTTATTAATTCGTTCACGTTGTATAATTTTACCTAACTAAGAGAAAAATGAACTAAAATATAACACGGACAAGCTCTTATTCTTATGGATTCTATTTAAATCTTATGTAAATCATATAAAACTCGAATTCTATCGAACCCCTCATTTAGGTTAGCCCGAAATCAACCCCCAGCCCACCCTCGACCGGTCGATCTCGACCGTCCCTGTGCAAAGTTATTACCGCATTTATTTATTTTCTAATTATTTTCCCCCCAATTTTTGTCAGCTTTGTCGCCAAGAAATCCCCTCGTCGTTTATTTCCAAGTTTTCTCATTTCCGGTCGTTTTAGGTCTCTCCCTCCCCTTTCCATTTCCCCCATTTCTCTCTCTCTCCTTCCCTCTGTTTCTCTTTCCTTGGTGCCGTTTCGCCATTCCTTCACCCCGCCGCCGCCGCTTCAGTTTCTTCTGTCGGGGAAGAACGAACGAACTCACATTGCTCCTTCGACCGAATTCCCCCTCCGTCAGAAGAAAAGTCTTCGCCATTAAAACGGTAATGCGGATCGTTTTCCGCATAGACAAACGACACGCAATGCGCGGCGGCGGCTTCGATTCCTTCTAGCGCGGTCCACTCTCCACCACTCTCAATATCGTCCTCTCAGTCAAACCGCTTTTCTATCTCCGCCGCCGGCGACATCAATGTCGGTGCCGGCGTGGCTGGAGTCTCTGCTGAGCACCGCCTTCTTCTCCGTCTGCCGCCTCCACAGGGACGCCGCGAGGAGCGAATGCAACATGTACTGCCTGGACTGCAAGGGCGAGTCGTTCTGCTTCTACTGCCGCTCTTCCCACCACAAGGATCATCAAGTCATCCAGGTCAGAGAAGAGAGTTTCTTTTCGATTGCCCAATTCGATTCCTTCCGATTGGGGAAAAGGGTAAATTGCTAATTAGGGATTTTTGGATTGGGGGAAATGCTGCAGATTCGGAGGTCTTCGTATCACGACGTGGTGAGGGTCGGTGAAATACAGAGGTTGGTGGACATCAGCGGGGTACAGACGTACGTGATAAACAGCGCCAGAGTGATGTTCTTGAACGAGCGGCCGCAGCCCAAATCGGGTAAAGGAGTCGCCCACATTTGTGAGATTTGCGGCCGGAGCTTGCTCGACACATTCCGCTTCTGCTCGTTGGGCTGCAAGGTAAGATTACAGAGGAAAATCCGTCATTGCTGTTTAGTTAGGTCCAGCAGCATTGCCTAAAATTAGGCAATTCAGTAATGGCAGAGTAGTATTGATTGATGAATCGCTGGCTTTGGAATGCTCGCATTTTGATCTTTTAAGCATCATCATCGCCATCTTTTCTCTGTTTTTTGGTGTGTTCGTCGGACGGCTAGGATTGGAGCCACATTTTTTGGCAACATACCATCAGCATCGTAACCACCCACCACCACCACTCCTCTGCCATTCGTAGACATAGACATATGGACATGATGAGATACCATAATATGTTTTTTATAAAAAGATAGAGAGAGAGGGAGGGAGGGAGGAAATGGTTTTATAATTCATAGAAATTATATGGCATTGCATCATCGTCACCATCACCATTCATGATCCAGTTAGCATTTCAATGTTCGTCTTGTGTTAGCATGGAAAATTCAACTAGACAAAGTTAGGTTGTAGATCACTTTTGGGGTGTTAAGCAATGGTGTGTGATGGAATTCTTTGTGTAAAATTTGGGATATTTCGACTATTATCTCATAATCTCGAAAGTTTGAGTCTTTATGTAAAAAATGACAAAAAATTTGAACTTTTAGGTAAAAATGAGATTCAAGACACTTGTAAGCATTGGTAGGTTGTGTCAAATTCGTTTTGTTATTGTAGTTGGTTATTCACCTAACCGTGTCAATTATATTCTGTTCTTTTGTTATTGTTTGTTTGGTCGTCCATCATATTGAAATAGGTCAATAGCAAACTATTTACAACAGAATTTGTTGTCTTTTTTTTTTTTGGGTATCCATTATATAGCTTGTAAGGATAAAGAGGAATGGAGATGCTAGCTTTAGCATGGAAGGAAAGAATGCAGGAGGTGAAGGAGAAGCCATAGAAGAAGAAGCCTCTACATTGTTAGGAATGCAAGAAAGAATAATAATGAGGAGAAGGGAAGCTCAAACGTCATCAAGGCTAACGAGTACATCATCGTCAAGGGAGGACGATCAAGAATTACGCGAAAGCACTCAACGAGACATCTACCCGGCCACTACTCCTCCACCGCCTTCCAACGCAAGGCGAAGAAAAGGCATTCCCCATCGTGCACCTTTCTTTGCTTCCTAATCCTTCCTAAATCTATTGTTGCTATTGTCATTATCGTTACACCATTTGAGTATAAAGTCATCCTACACAAAACTCAAACACACACAAAAGACTCTTTTCCCTCCCCTACCCTTCCTTTCTTGCACAAATTCATCCATCTTTAGTGGGTAAGAAAGTGAGAAGATGAAGAAGGAAAGGTAGAAAGAAGAGGGTGTACATATGGCCTTATAGCACACTATACATATAGTGTCCTTATATGCCCTTCTTTTGCTTTTGTTCCTTTAAAAACCAAAAGGGGTGATGAGTAAGTTTCCCCCTTTTGGGTTGGAGGACCCATTAGGCCAACATAACACAAAGCTATGAGAAGAAAAGAAAGGGAAGACAAAGAAGAATTCTTCTTTCTCTCTTGTGAATTGAAGAAGTAGCAATAATGCAACCCCAAAATTATTTGTTATAATGTATACACTTGTTAATTGTTCTATAGTGATTGATGTTTGCAATGCAAGGTTGTACATTGGTGTTAATAAAATCTAAAAGTCTTCTTCTTTTGTGGAATCCGTTTCATATAAGGGTTTCTTTCTTGTAGTTTGCTTTCTATTTCCTTTCTTTTCGTTGGGTCCACTCAACCACATGGGCCGTTCACATAAAGAAAACTACATTTCTCCCTTTCCTCTTTCTTTATTATATGAGTGCACCTTTCCTAATCACTATTATTGTTTCTTAATCATATAGTATATGTGTGTATCATCTATACACATTTCTCTGTCTTTGGTAACCTAACCAATACCACTTAGCCCTCATCTGCTTATAAGAATATCGATGGGTATGACCTTTAATTTGATCCATGTCACTATGATAGGACCTAGTGTGTTATTTGATGGGTAGTTATCAAGTTCGATCGACCTAATATAAATGACGCACTTGGAGGATTGCTATCCAGTTATCAGTAAACAGCTCTATCGCTTTGACATGTCAAGATGTGAAAATGATTGTGAAATATTCTCACAAGAATGCAAGATGTGATGTTTCCAATTGTCTATTTGTCTACTACCACAAGATTTACTATCATCAGTAACAAACTCAATTATCTCCATATAATGACTTACCATTATATGTATGAAAAATGAATGAAATCCAAATTGGATTCACATTTTTTACATTGTCTCTATGTATTTCATAGATTATATATATTGATAACCCGAATGTTTTACCAAATGAATGAGTGTGCACTCATGTACATTAGAGTAAGGAAATCTTAGCCTAATAACAAGATCATCTACTATAAATTTATCGAATATTCATTATTAAAATTCACCTCCTTTTTGTCGGTAAAGTCCTTGTTTGAAATGTATGATGAACACTCCTTTGATTGTGAGGTTAATTTCGGTTACTTTGAGACCATATTGCTTTCTTAGCTTTTGATGAATACAATAACTACAAAAAGTGAAAATACATGTAAATTTTTTAATTTTGGACTATACAATACATATGGTGAACGATAGATAACTAGTAATTAACGAAAGGGATAACATAAACATTAAATAGCCAATTTAGTAGGTGGAGAGGGACGTGGATTTGATAGTTAATTAAAATCCTAATCCCTTTCGATATGATTCATTTGAGCGGGAAAGTAGTAGTAGGTAAGTTAATTGGAAGAGAAATGAAGTAGGTAAGCACTAAGCAATGATTAATAATATGCTATAGTTTAATGATCTAATTTGGAATATTAATTGAAACCTATTCCATGATTAGTAATTACAATTATTCAATAATTAATAAAGAGATTACTAGCTAGAATATAACCAAATTCCGGAAATTCCAAACAAAAGTACTATTAGTCCAATTACAAATAGGTAACAAGGTAGCTTCGGGTCTTAATTTACCCAATGTGAAGAGTTCAAACCTAGAAAAAACAAATAGAGTATGTATGTAGACATTTGTACATCCAACAAAAGAAATGAAGGAGTCCTATCTTGCTTAAAACAACATATGTGTCTTTCTTGTTTATGTTTTGTCTATATGTAATGTAGATGACATAGTTCTGTTACTTAACCCAATTTACTATTTTACTTACACTTATCAATGATGTGGTCATTACAAAATAGGTATTCAATCTCTTACTTTGGAATGATACTATTGCTGGACTCGATTATCATATTATAAGATTGTAAGTTAGATTCATGGACCCAATTCTATTTATCAGATCATAAGTTAGATTTTTAGACCCAATTCAAGTTATCATATTATAAAATAGATTCATGAACCCAATTTGTTACCGCTTAATTGAGATTGAGTTTGTTTGTAATTGTCGGTTGCCAAATTTTTTTTTTTTTTTTACTTAATGGGTTCTTCTTCTTTTTTTGCATTTTATCTACGAAAAAAATTGTGTAATACTGCACCGCTAGTGGATCGTACCTTTGGCTCTTTTTTATTTTGCTTCCTTATAAGTGACCACCATGACAAGAAAGTGCTACAAAGCAAGAGGATAAAATTCGAATGGTGGGTGGTTGGCATGAAGATCATAATCCAATGTTGATGTTTTAGCATCCATATCATCCAATCAATCTCCAATTATTCGATAAAGATCTCTAAATAATTGATTGGTGACTTGTACCTACATATACATTCATGTGGTCCAACTCCTTAGTCTCCTAAACGTTACAATTAAGAAGCTATCGGGGCAATAATGCAACCATAGTTAGTAAATACTCCGTTTAATACACGTATATGTACCCGTACGTACTTTATCCGTTTAAAACTTCCGTATCCGTATTATTGTCAAGCCGTTTCATTTTTGTCCGTTCATTTGATGACTCCCGTATTAAACACGTATAAAACCCGTATAACACGTTTAATATCCGTATTTAATGAATTAAATTACTAACTTTACTATTATTTATATATTTATTTATTTTTAAAATGATTAATTCTTCTATATTTATGAAAATTAACGTATTATTAAACGTAACATTAGCATACAGACGAAGTAAAATACCCGTACGTATTTTATACGTAACATTCCCGTACCGTATTTTACTAACTATGAATGCAACTCTCCTCATTGTTAGGTACCCTTGACATTTAGCAAAAGGTTAAAAAAAAAACGTTAGTATAACAAGAAGGCCAACGTCCATCAAGAAAGAAAGGCATGTTGTCGATGTACATTGTTGAACCTTGAAATTCTAATAACAAAGCCCTCTAAAAGTTCGATCCATTTTCTTTCGCCGAGAAAGATTTCTGATTTGAACGAGCTAGTTAGAGATTCACCTTGATGTTACTTTTTTCGTTAATTTTGATAGTGGCAAATGAATCAAGTCGGGTTGGATCTTATAGAATCATGAGTTTAACCAAAATTACAGATATATATGTCAGGTTTGAAGTTTGAGAGACACTAATTGGGAAGATATTTTGTTTGTCTATAGAAATTTTGTAATAGGGGTTGGGAGTATGTGAAAACTAATTGTTGACGAGAGAGATGATCATAATAGAAACAAAAGTCATTTGAGGGTTTAATTTCTTCACTCGCTTCCTTGATTTCTGTTGTGAATTGTGATTCTTATTGTTGAATGTTTTATTGCAAAAACACAAATCCAAAAGGGAAACAAAATTCTTAATCCATTCATATTAAATCCAAATCTATTTTTGTAAGTTGACTAGAATAACCATGTACAAAGGTAGATAAGCCTCAATACATTCTCTACTACGTACAAGTCTTTTTTTCCCCCTTATGATGAGGAATACCCTCTACGATCACCACATTTAGTGATGTCGTAGTCGGGCCAAACCTCGGGACCTCCGCCAGCAATGCGAGATGCATCCGAGAACACCATAGCAGCGGTGACTGGTGAGGATCTCTCGGTCACCAGTCCGCCTCCCTTACCACCAGACTATGTGACCTTTGACAGATACAAGTTTAAGTCCTTACGAATTACAATACAATCCCTCACATTGTGTAATCCTTTATAGCTACGCCATTAATTTATGCCTCTTCCTTTACTTGATTAGTATCCTAAAATTAATATTTTTCAAATAAATAAAACGTCATATACATATATCGTGTTATGTATTATAAAAATGTCAAACATTGTGTTTAACTCTTAAATATTGCTCTACTGTATACACTATAGTTCTATACACCTTTTCCCCAAATTATAGATAGACTAAGCCAGTAAGCCCGCTATTTAACCATATTCCCCGTCGATCAAAGAAGCATTATATAAATAGTTAAATACTCAAACCAAGCTATAAGATAACGACGACTAGCTGATCAGTTAGTCTCCAAGATACCTAGCAAATGAAGAAGAACAGTCGCCCTAAAGAAACGACACCGTTCTATGCAATCCCGGTTGTGTGGCTAATGGCTATCACAACCTCCGGCGGCGGCGTTTCGAGTATCCCGAGGTTTCATGACGTCATCACGACGACCGGACAGCGTCGGCGGCGGGAGTACTACCGGGGCGCGACACGTTGGGCAGCTGGAGTGAGCGGAGAACCAGTGGTCAACGCAGGCAGCGTGGAACACGTGGCCGCAGCTCGGCAGGAACCGCACCGTCGCGCCTTCCTCCAATTCCACTATGCAAATCACGCAGTCATCTGACGCCGTTGTCGTCGCGGCGCCGTTATTATTTTTCTCATCTTCCTTCGAGTACGTCAGGATCGGGATCGCGTTGAGGACTCGTCCGTCAACTCCCTTTTTACCGCAACCGCCGGCGCCCTGCCGGCGGAGGCAGAACTTGACGATCAGGAAGTGGTAGGCGAGGAGGACGAGGAGCGTCAGCGTGACGCCGGCGAAGGAGATGAGTAGCGGGGTGACGATGGATGACGTGGGAGAAGATGGCGTCGTTCCAGATGGCTGAGAAGCGGCGAGGTCCGTCGCGGTTGCGTAATAATCCGACTGTGGGCTGTCGTCCATGGCTGATGGCTCATTTGAAGCTTCAGAGAGATGTGAGAGAGAAAGTGAGAAAGAGCAAGCGTGATTAAGCGGTAAAGCAAATGGATTTAAAAGAGCCAGGGATGCTAATTAATCTTGTTCGAGGGCCCCACGTGGTTAAGTGCTGGTCAATCGGAGAGTTGCACGTGGATAGATTGACACAAAAAAATTCAGGCAATCTCAAGCAGATATTTTAACCTAGTATAATCAGTGAAGTCAAATTATTTGAGAGTAATAGAATAATAGTTACGTTTTTTTTTTTCGGAAATGAACATTTTAATATAATTATATTGTATGTTGCTATTTTAACAAAAAACAATTATGAGTTATAGTCCAGTGAACTTGAAAATCGGCAAAATATAAAAACATAGAAGTAAATATTAGAGAGAATTGAGAAGGTATGGATTGTGTTGGGCATGTGACTCGGATCACCCCCGCGCCAAAAGAGCATGTCAAACCGCGTGCCGCAACAGACACGGCGAGGGCGCGACACGTCCGACAGCGCCGAGACCTCACGCGCGGCAAGAGCAAGGCTATGCGCGCAAGTGGGAAGACAAGGCGGCAACCAGACTCAAGAGCCGGAGAGGGCGTCATTGTGTCTCCCGAGGGAAGGTCACGTCAAGACTTTTAGGTACAAATCATAGACAACCCTCTGACAAGTCCTAGGTTGGGGGATGGCCTAAATCCCTGACACATCAGTAGTCACGTCGTTGTACCGTCTCGAAGTCCACCCACTCACCCACCACCATGTAGCCTATAAATATGGCATTTACTCCGGTGGGTGAGGGGATCGCATTTTTTCACCATTCTCTCTCTAGAACAATTACTTCTCTTTCTAAAAGTTCGGACTCCGGTTCTCACTCAACTCTCTGATTCTTGTCTTCTTGATCAAACTCGACGTTCGCGTTTCTTCTTGACCCAAACTCTCACTCGAACCTCACTCCTACACTCAGTTAGGTTCAAACAATTGGCGCCCACCGTGGGGCCAAGAAGAAACGCTAAAGAAAATCCCCCAATGGCAGAGCACAACCACGACCAGCCTGACCAAGCAACGCCGATCAAGGCAATGACTGACCCGAGGGCGTTCGCGGAAGCCAGCAACCTCAACGCCGTGCTCATCGAAGAAGAGGAGCCAGAGCTGACGGCCAAAGAAATGAGGGATCTAGTGAGGAAGCAAAACAACGTCATAGCCGACATGCAGAAACAAATGAGCCAAGTTATCGTGCTCATGATGAGCAGGGAGAGCGCGCCAACGATAGGCGCGGCGGCGGATGCGCCTCAACACGCCTTGGCGGTGGCGCCTCAGCAAGCCTTGGGAGAAGCGTCGGGGACAGCCCAGCTACCCCAACACGCGCCGACGGAACTTCCCGCGTGCGAAACGCCGGGAATCGAACCACCGGAGCGGGCGGATCTCAGCTTCTTAGAACAACACCTGTCTCCGCAGTACCGACCCAACCCGCCCAAAAGGGTCCTTCACCAGCCATTGAGCGCGCAGATAATGGCGGAGAACCTGACGGGGGCGACACCCACCCTCCCGACGTACAATGGCACGACTGACCCGGAAGACCATGTAAGCACCTTCTGCTTGCGTATGCAACTCCAAACCAACTCCAACGCCGCGCTGTGCAGAACCTTCCCGTCGACGTTCACCGGCATATGCCTCGACTGGTACAACCGCCTCCCGAACGGAATCATTCGCTCGTTCGAGGAGTTCATACTTCTGTTCACAACAAAGTTCGCTTCCCAGAAACGGCGCCCCCTCCACCTCAAGGCCCTGATAGATGTCAGGCAGAAGGAGGGAGAAAGCCTGAGAGCTTTCTACGCCAGGTGGTCCAGGGTAGCAATGTCTGTCCGTGACCTTACCCCCGAAACAGCTGCCCATCACCTCATGGAGGCCACCAACAACATGGAGCTCAAACGGGCGTTAGCAAAGAGGCCCGTCACGCTGTCAACGGAGTTGGAGATGAAGATCGAAAAGGCGATCACATTGGAAGAGACCTTGGGGGCGGGATCCGTCAGGCGCTTCGAACCAGCGAGAATGCCGAGAGAAGAACAGGCACGTCGTCAGCCTCCAGCCACAATCCCACGAGACCAATTGCTACAGATGCACAGTGGCCCAAAGCGCGTCCCTCCCCCCCCCCACCAGAGCAGGCGCAGCGCGGGCGATCGCCAGACAGGCGCGCGCCTAACGCCTACACTCCCCTCAATGACTCCGTGAGGAATGTGTTCCATGTCCTTCGCGAGAAGGGTTACAAGCTCAATTGGCCTGCCCCGTTAAGGTCCCAACCCTATATGCGCAATCCAAATACGCATTGTGAATTCCACAGAGCAACGGGTCACCAGACGGAAGACTGCCGAGAGCTAAGGTACGAAATAGAAGGCCTCGTACGGCGAGGGTTGCTAACCGAATTCACTCACGTGAAGAAAGAACAAGCTGAGCCCCCTCAGCGCCCGCCGCCACCACCACCCCAAGCCGAATACGATGATGACACAGGCGCATACGTAGTGCGCAAGGAAATTGGGGTGGTGACGGTTGAAGGAGATCGTCCCCAGAAGAAAACAAAGCGGGAGCGCGCGACGGAGTGCGCGGCAGTCGACGCGCCGACAAGGTTCAACCTGAGCTTTGATGACACGGAATTCCCACAGGGAGTCCCGTCAGAGGAGCCGCTCATCATCACCGCGCTAATCGCCGCCTGCAAAACTCACCGCCTCCTGATAGATGGAGGTAGCGCGGCTGACATCCTCTTCCAGAGTACCATTGACAAAATGGACATCGATCCGCGTCTAATCAGGCGCGCGCAAGGCAACCTAGTTGGTTTCTCCGGAACCAAGGTCCCGGTAATTGGAGTGGTCACCCTCCCTGTGGTGATCGGCGACCAGGAGCCTCGCGTTTCCAAACAAGTAGAGTTCACGATCGTCAATTGCGAATCGGCGCACAACGGCATTCTAGGCCGCCCTTTCCTCGCAAAGTTCACGGCCCTCCCGTCGACGTGCCACCAGAAACTCAAGTTCCCATCAAATAGAGGAGTAGGAGAAGCACGGGGAACGACATGGGAAGATCGCGTTGTGGCTCGACAAACCAACATCGTCGACACAAGGGCGGAAGAACTCCGACCGGAGTCCATGGATTCCGATTTCGAGGTCGCGCTGGATCCCGCCGAGCCGACTAGGAAGATACGCATCTCCACTCACGTCAGCAATGACGCGATCGAGCCGCTCGTGGCGCTGCTGAAAGAGTACCAGGAACTATTCGCGTGGTGCACGGAGGACATGCCAGGAGTGCCCAGGGAGGTGGCCCAACATAGCTTGGCAGTCCCAGCCAACGCAGAGCCAAGGCAACAAGGGCGGAGGTCCTTCACGGGCGACAAACTGAAGGCGATAGAAGAAGAGGTGGCGCGCCTACTGGCAGCCGGGTTGATTCGACCCGTAAAGTATCCAAAGTGGCTGGCAAACGTGGTCTTGGTCAAGAAATCGTCAGGAGCCTGGCGGATGTGCGTCGACTACACCACAATAAACAAAGTATGCCCAGGAGACCCTTATCCCCTGCCACGTATCGACCAGCTGATCGACGCAACCGCCGACCATGAGACGTTGTCTTTTCTCGACATGTTCTCCGGATACCACCAAATCCCAATGTCGGTGGAAGATGAAGAAAAAACGGCGTTCATGACACCGTTCGGGAACTTCTGCTTCGTAGGGATGCCGTTCGGATTGAAGAACGCGGGCGCGACATACCAGAGAATGATTGACACGGTTTTCTCGCGACAAATCGGGCGGAACATCGAGGCGTACGTAGACGACCTCATTGTCAAAACCAAGGCGGGCAGGTCACATCTGGAGGACCTGCGCGAGACTTTCGAAGCCCTCCGCCAGCACAGCCTTCGCCTCAACCCACTCAAATGCGTCTTTGGAGCGGAAGCGGGGAAGTTCCTTGGGTTCATGATAACCAAGCGCGGCATAGAGGTCGACCCGAAGCAAATCACCGCGGTCCAACAATTACGGGCGCCCCGGAACGCGTTGGAAATCCAATCTCTGAATGGCAAGATAGCGGCACTGGGGAGATTTATACCAAGATCCGCCGACAAGTGTGCGCCTTTCTTCCAAACACTCAAGAACGGGGCGCGCTTCGCATGGACGACAGAATGCGAAACAGCATTCCAAGAGCTAAATGCGTATCTTGTATCCCCTCCTGTACTGACTGCCCCCAAACTTAATGAAAAAATTTTCTTGTATCTCGCTGTGTCAACAAGGGCCGTGAGCGCGGTGCTGATATCTAGAAGAGATGGCAGAACCGAGAAACCAGTGTATTACACCTCGCGCACTCTAGTCAGCGCGGAAACAAGATACTCCTCGATCGAGAAGGCTGCCTTGGCACTAGTAAGCGCCTCCCAGAAGCTGCGCCCGTACTTCCAAGCGCATCATATCATCGTCCTGACAAACCTCCCACTAAAAAAGATACTAACTTCGATGGAAGTGTCGGGACGCATGGTCAAGTGGGCGGTCGAGTTGTCGGAATATGATATCCAATACGCGCCAAGACCAGCAATAAAGGCCCAAATCTTGGCGGACTTCATCGCAGAAGGGGTGACCCTCGAAACAACGCCGGAGGGCGTTTGGGAAGTCTACGTTGATGGAGCGGCGAGCAAACATGGCGCCGGAGCAGGAGTTGTGGTGCGCACGCCTTCTGGCGCGGTGCACGAAATCGCAATCAGGTTCCGGACGCTGAAAACAAATAATGCAGCAGAATATGAGGCCATCTTGGCAGGGATGACGGCCGCTCATGACTTGGGAGCGAGAACGATACGGGTCCTCTCCGACTCCTCCCTGGCGGTCAATCAGCTGAACGGTGCGTTTGATGCAAAGGAAGACGCGCTGGCGCACTACATGGAGCGTGTTAAGCGGAGAGCCACAACATTCGAAGCGGTAACATATGCGCAGATACCAAGAGAAGAGAATGCGCACGCCGACGCACTATCCAAGCT